TTGCCAAACGATCAGATCGAATCGTCTAGCTGGTAAAATCATATTTCAGATCATTGGTCCAAATGGACGTCCTTAGAGTACTTCCAAACCTTTCTCTTGGCTTTGAAATTGCTCAACCAAATGACGGGTGTTCGGCACCTACGAAAACCTAGCGCAGAGAGAATGATCAACAGACTAAAAGCGATGTGTCTAATTTGCTGGTTACACCAATGATAATTGCTCATGCAAGCTGCTACCTGAAATAGACGGCTGTGACGTTGAACCGAAATACTCATCATCTGTCAAATCAATTGTCTGTTCGTTACTTTTTGCCGCAAGTTGCTTAGGGCATCAAACTGCATTTGGTGCAGGGTTACTCATTTAATAGTGTGTCGCACCAAGACAAATTCATTTATGATGTGCAAAAGAAAGCGTTCACATATTTAAACACTAGCGGATTAACTAGTCATTACAAAGCAGCTTCATCAGTTGATCTACGTAGATACTCCCACACTCGTTGAACTGGACACCTTCCACATCAAAAATTAGTTGTCGGTTATGTGCTCCTCATGAAGCAAAACGCTGTTCTTTTGGAACTCCAAAAGCAGCCTTCAGTGGCTTTGCTGACTTGTAAAGCTGATTCCATTTCATTCAGTCAAGCACTCAAACAAGTTGTGCTCCTACTGAAGGGTATCTAATGAATTAGTAGAAATGTCCATAACCACTTTATTTATTGTGATCACAATTCTCCTATCAACTTGGCTAACCATCCCTAAAATTACAGATACTTCAACTAAGTCTCATTCAAGTAACATTTTTCAAGAAGGTTGTTGGAAATTGCTTTTACACTTGCAAGAGTTGAAACTAAAAGTACTGCTCTTGATGTCTTGAGTGGGTGCTACGGGCCCCAGTGTAATGATACCTCAATAAATTGATTCAATGATTCAATTATTTGCAGGTTGGTTCTGTTCTTAAAGCCGCTCTAAATCAATCCTACTATTTTTGTTTGCTTAATATCCAGTTAAGAATGATACATGCCCGTTATTCCTTTCAATCTCTGAATGAAGTAATATTGATTATTCAACCGTTACAACCTGAGTGTATCACTGCATTCGTTCCCTTAGCAAAATAATCAAATTGGTTTTCTAAAATACTTGCTCTTGAATTTGAGTTGTTTTGCTTTTGATTCCCAAGTCTAGTCATCGTTGGTTACCCTCTGATTATCTCAAGGACTCCTTCATTGTAGCCTGAACCGTGCATCCGTGAAATGGGTGATCCTGAACAAGCCAACTAGCGAACTGGTCTGATAACGTTCATGAGGCGAAGAGCAAAGCAGAATCCCACACCTGATTGGTTGAAATCTGGGAAATGTCTCCCAAGTACAACCCAAAAGCCAGGATTCCAAATCCACATGCATTTCCACCCTAATATAGTTAGCTGTGGAAGCCCATGGATGGCATTCAAGCTAATTCTTTAGCGCCCGTGAGAAGATGGCTTGAAACTAACTTTTGCACTCACACCTGGCAACCACTAGGCCAACGCAATCGGTCGTTTGATTGTTCACTGCAATGTTCGACTATATTGACTCCTTTGTCAGCGGTTTGGTTACTGGGTTGAGGAGGGCTGTTGTGATCCTCGCGGATCTCAACATTCTCACTCTCAATGTCCGCACGGGTTTCTTCTTTTGTCCATGTGTGACCTATTCAAGTTCCTCGGAAAAAGGGGTAGCGATGTCTTTTCGGGCTTTCTCTATGATATATCGGACTTTCTTAATATACATCGACGGCTTTGTTACGACGGCTGAAAGGGTTGAAAGAGCTTTGCTGGTGTAACGCACAGCCATCAATTTTCAATCCACATTTCGACTCTACTACAGAATGTGCTTTGACGGAAAGCCGTGGTTGGGAATCAAACTCGCTCCACTTCCCCTATAACCAAAATTTTGAAGACCAAGATTTGCACTCCCACCTTGTAACCGATTGGCCAATCCAAATGAAGGTTAGAATATTGTCTAAAATGCTTGACTAAATTTACCCCATGTGCTGAAAACTGGTTGCCGCGTTAGGAGAAACTGTTCGGCGCCTTGCGAATCTCAACATTTGAGCACTCTGTGGCTGACGCCGGTAGGACTTGGTCAATTGTTGTGATCGGCCCCGGTTCTTTAGAAAGAGGGGTGCAGAGCTGTTATACAGTTTTGTTCTTTATAGCCTTCCCAACTTTAATATATTACCATTGAGTTGCTACGACAATGGCAACTCATTTTTTAAATAATCTGGATTACCTCCCAGGCCGTCAGTGGAGCAGACCGGTGACAGAAACCGAAAGACAGAAGGTAGGCATCCAGGAGGCTCTGAGTGACCCCCTATCCTAATAACCGGACCTCAGACATTGAGATCAGAATAGTAAGACATTTCTTAGAGCCTGCAGTCCCGCACTTGAGCCAAGAGCAAGCCATGATCTTCAGGGATCCGCTGACGGCCACAATCGATTGGATTGAAATGCTAACCACGGCCATCAGAGTGAAAGCACTTTGGGGTGAGAAAAATGGGTGGATTTAGAATTCTGCCATGAGCGCTGCACAAGAAAGGTTCTTCCAACCCTTCAAACAAGGAGGGATGGCAAGTTCATTTCTCATGTGCGTCAAGAACGTTACAACTCGAGTTCGTTCGATCATTTGTACGTGAACAGCCATTTTCTGCAACCGCAGGTTAGACTTCAATCACGGACTCGATAATAAATTCAAACGCTAACGAAAAGTAAGACCACAATATCATCAAAAATAACCAGATCAAATCCACAATTGGCTACTGGATAATGCGAACCTCAACATTTTGAAAGCAAAAACATGAGACCCAATAATACAATCGACTTGTACTGATGTTGAAATATTATAACGTCAGTCAGACAAGCAATGGTGCAACACTGCTCTAGCATAGCCGTTAAGAAATAAACCAACAAATAATAATCAGATTAGGCAAGAGCCACGAGAACAGCAAAACAAAAACTAACATCAAATCAACCATTGAAAGTACTTATTGAGGTATTAAACCCTGCGGTGCTTCAAGCCCTACTCAATATGCCACCAGCAATATTTTTAGAAAGAACTTTTTCAGGAGTAAATCCTACATTGCACTCTCCTTATATAAACTGATGCAACATTGAAATTTGGTTAGGGTTTCTGCCCTTCATGCAACTATTAGCCAGCTTGAGAGCGCAATTGTTTTCACAATAAACACTTGGTTTATTAATCAATGTAGAAATGTTTTTGAAACACTGCATTAGAAATACTGCCTTTTCGACTGCTTCAGTGAGAGACATTTATTCAGCTTCCCGAGTCAACAAGGAAACTGAAGACTGCCTCTTGCAAATTCAAGTTACTGTTCTGTGATTAATGAAAAGCGTAACCCACTAACCGATTCTCCATCAACAATATTTTCGGCACAATCACTTTCAGCGTTTCTAGCCAGCTGAACAGGGAAAGCACAATCGTAGCGAATAGTGAACAGGGATGCGTTTAGATATGTATAAACTTTTTCAGCACACCCCAAATAAATCCTGCATGGTCCACCAAAAGATCGACTAAGTAACAACTATAAAACCAATATAATTCCACAATCAATTTGAAGCAAAATGCAACAACAACATAATTGATCTTGAAAGTGATGATTCTTTGGCAACTAACTCAAAGCAATAGGTTTCAATCAGCTCCTTCAATTGGTTAGAAATTATTGGTATAGTCTGTAAATGGGACTTATTAATTTTAATCGTTAATCCACTATTCTGACATTGGATTCCACACATACCAAAATACCGTCGTTAGTTCGCCCAACATCAACTTCAAAGAAACAAGCCAACATTAGTCCAAGATCTTGCACGTTAACCAAAACAATGTGATATGATCAAACCTGCTTCACCATTGGTTCTGATGATGCGGTAGAATTGACATCATCGGCAAATAATCGAACCATGCAGTGGTGTTTGCATTTTGAAGCATGAAACACGCCATGGTCAGGTGATGGTCATTGAAACCGAAGAGATTTGAGAGCATTAAGCATCATCTTGTACAACCAAATAAGACATCATTTGACTGCATAAATTGATTTGAGCAACTTCCAAACTCTTAGAGGATACACAGCTATCACAAATCCAAGAGATGGTTTCATCTAAATTTCACAGTTGATAACTCCATAAAAACGTGCAGTTGTCACATCCATTTGATGAGCATTGAATCACTTTGATGCTGCAACAGCAAGAGCGACTCCAACACATTAAAACCTAATTACCGCGCAAAATGATTCACTATATTAAGTACATTCCGGCAGCGTAGACTCCTGAGCAACTAATCAGCAACTGGCAATATCACTTTTCGGTGCTGATTTTATTGTAATCACTGAACGCCAGCCAAACAGATCATTCTCCACAGAGAAATCAACCAACCATTCATTGTCAGCAACAGCATCCTCCTTCTCGTGAATTAAGCCGATGTCAATCTACTCATCATTGTTATTAGAGTCTTCTTTTGATGTATTTGCTGAAGCAAATGCCGTTGCGTTAACATTGACACTCACAGCCATCCAACCACTATCTTCCAAAACACCACCAGCAATAGGAAGAGCACCAGCACCGATAGATAAAACTCAAAATCCAAGTGGAATTGCTCTTTCAAATCCAGCAAATGATGAATCATCAATAGTAAATATTGATTCATCAAAACAACAACAAGAACTGAGAACAACACAGCAGTTGTGAGAATTCTAGACTCTGAAAGCCTTTCTACTTGTGTCGTACCCCTGAAAAGCTCAACGCACACTTGAATCACCAAAAATAGATTGCCGGCTTTGGTTAAGCATCTAGCAATAAGCAGCAAATCCATAATCCTTGAACACAACAGCACTAGCAGTTTTTCCACTAAATAGTTCAGAAAGAGTTGTTAACCGATTTCCTTGATTGATGAGAATCATACTCATCAGCGGCGCTGCACACACTACCGCGTCCATCCACAAACAATCAGGAAGACACTCCTAAATTATCGTTGTCATAGCAATTGCCACGACTGTTTCTTGCGAACGTTCACGGACACCATTTTCATGAGAGTCATAACGAACTGACTTCTCATAATTGATTTTGTCAGATTGGCCAAAAGCTTCAAACTGCTGGATGGAAGCTCGTTATTAGATTCAACTTTAAAAATGATTTAACCTATAGTGGTTAAATAAATATGATATTATATACCAGCCACAAAACAGCACATGTTCGTGTACCAATTGCATCCACAACTACATTTTTTGAAATAAAATCAACAAAGCTAAAAACATAACATCTTTCATCAAAGGCAACAACTGTCAATGGCCCTGAAAATTCATCGCTAAGAAGACCAGAAGCAGCGGGGTATGTGGGGCGGACTACTTACTAATCATTGTGGTCGCATTTCCTTTCAGCCGACAGCCACATTTTGAACCACTTGCAGCAGAAATGCCATACATTTTGGCTATTTTATATGCAACAGCTTTACCTACACCACCTATTCGCTCATGCAGATTCAAACTAATTCTAGTAACAGCACATGGAACAACGACAAAATAGAACATTCTCGAAGCGGCTTCTGTTACAAGCAATCGCATCATTCAAATTTCTGCAATCTTCTTTCAATGAAAAGTACGCCGTTTTAGTTGATGCAGATGAATCGAAAATAAAATTTGCACCATGGGGAGCATGAAAACCAATTTCTTATGATCCCCCCACACCGAAGCATCTTTGTAGCAACTGCATTGACAACTACGATGGTGTCACCAATACCAGCAACCTGACATAGATTGGAAGTGAAGGCGCTGATCAGTTCACCTACACACGAAGGGCCTTGCTAAACTTCAGAATCGCAAGAGAATCGTTTCAAGCGCATCATCAGCGTGCTCAACACATAGAACATTGTCGCAAACACCAGATGATGACGATTGCGGGCATGATGAGCAGCCACAGCAGCAGAATCATCGGGTGCAACAGATGAACCAGCTAGAGCAGGCCGTGGTGCCAAGCACCCGCTATCAAAATGCTTCTTCTTGTGCCAGAAAATGCATTTCACTCTTTTCATTTAGGCATCTTCAATCGATCCCAACCAACAGAAGTAAGAAGTGCAAACCCTAGGCTTCCAGCAGAGGCATCATTACCAAATTGATTTGCCAAATCAATTGCAATGGTATATGTAAATTGGTGAGGATCTGAAAATAGAGTAAATTGCCTTCAGCTTTCGAGGAGTCCAATAGCAAAGCAGGATACAAAGTAAGGCAACTTCATCACTCTTCTAGACATTGGGAATATTGCCGTGGACTTCATCAATGGATCTATTGTAATATTCGCAAAGTTTAAAAAGTTCATCAAGTTGCCCTATGTTGTATGCTGCTTCACTATTGAACTTTTCGGACGCTAAAGCCCCTATACACAATGCACACACTCTCACAAAATTTCATTTGCTGATTCAATGGGTTCCGCCAATCATCTTGGTGATGGTCTGATTGCTGGCTGCCCACGTTGAACGGCGTTAGGCTCTGTTAAAAAGAGGCATTCAAAACGCCAAACCAAAAAAAAAAGACATGCCAACGCTGTCACATCAAATGAAATTTGGCTGGCGAGTCCCTTGCACGACGGCCAGGTTCAGCTGGTTCAACTGTTGCTGCCGCTGAATCGGCTGCTGAGTGTGCTCTGCTTGCCCCCCAAACTCATCAATTGCTCCTTCTTTGGCTGTTTACAGTAGCTAGCATGCTAATGATAAATTCCAGATGGCTCGATTTTGACTCCAGTCCGTTGCACTACATTTGTGCTACCCTTCATTGGATCAGCGTCTTAAAACATCAGAGACGTCATATTGTTAGTTATCGTGTCACTGTCGTTCAAGTCAAAGAAATTGGTACTGTGATGGGTGGCAATAGCAATCAATGGAAACACATTCCTGATGCTCCCGATAGAGCAAATTTCATTCCCATTTCAGCTGCTACATAACAGAGATCTATGCTTCATTGATACCTGCTGAGTCTATTGAAATAATTCATTGGCTGCAAAATCAGCAGTGTTAATTTCATATGAATGAACGATCGGCCCATAAGCTGCTCCGTCTAATACGTCAAAGTGGCATGAGCGAGGACCACATGAAGGTACATCTGCTTCAAAAAATAATTGAAAAATGTATAGCGACTCTGCAGCTGAAAGTTCAAAATGCCTGTTGTGTCACAAACAAATAAGGAGAACAATGACTTATATGTCGTCCGCAAAGTAGGGCACTGCTGTCCTTGTTCTTCATGCTGCTCATATTGTTAACCACCTGGCAGCTACTGATGCTGATGAAGATTCGTCTTCTTTACCAATAAAAAAGAATTGTCAAGAAATGTGGTTCTTGCGGCAATTACTGCACCATCATCAGCTGGTGGCAGGTGTGAATAATATCTTAAGTCTACACAACCACTGTTGCAAATGAATGTTTACACTCCACGATCTGATGACCAGCTTGCCTCCAAACAGTTCAAGAGACATTTGTCGATCTGAGAAACTGAAGCTTCGAAGGTCAGCGTCAAATCATTTTCATCAAAATGGGATTGCTGAATGTTGCCAAAAATCAAGGGTCACTAACGCTATGAGAATGTCAATTGAACTTAATGCTGCTGATCATTTGTGCAATGATCTTGTAATGTTTGCGCTGCTACTGATGAATGTGAATTACGCAATACAGGGAAGTTCCCCAACTACACTCCCTCACTGATTTAGTGCAAGAAAGTGACTGCTGCTTAGTTGAAGCAGAATCGATGTCTTGCGTGTGCCATCATCCCCGAGCAAAACGGGAAACATATGCTCAGTGAGCCAAGGGTCCCCTGCCCTGTTGCGGTCCGCGACACGAATTGAAATGCCATTAGGGTGTACAAATCTAGCAATAGCTGTGATGTTCTCAGATTTTCTTCTTTTGTTGATGAAAGCTCCCTGTTGTTGGAAAGTTCATCATTTGCCGCTTTGAGGCAAACATTTGTTATTGTTGATAAAATTACACCTGCCGCTGGTGGAGCCACAAAAGACAATCAGTGCACTGCAATGAATGACAAATGTAAAAACACTGCGATTCCTTCAGAAAAACCTTCAAATGATGACTCCAATAAACAACATCATTATACTGACATCCGCTCAAATGATGAAACAATGGATAATTCCGTTAACAATACACCGCATTAAAATCTATTGCTTGCATCCACTGATGATGGTGATCAGGCCGCTAATGAAAACAGCGGGGCTCCATCAAATAAAGACCAACGCTCTGGAAACAAAAAAGATAGTCATGACGATCTTGATGGCACTCCCAAAGTGCTTGAATGCTATACCAACGATTAAACAAATCCAACTTGACACAATCTTACTCAGATATATCTGGCTGCGGCTTCTACGCCGCAACTACAGATGATGCACATGGTGCTTACTGTATCTGCAAAGTGCAATGTCAATGAAGGTTTCAATCAACGGATAATTGCATAATCTATTCGATAGTTGACTCTCTCTAATGAGAACCCCGTAGGCTGCCTTTTGGTGCTTCCAATAGCGTCGGAACCAAATTAAAATACTGCTAAAGCTTGACATGTCTCTGAGCGGCTTGCGCAGGTTAAAGAAATTGACTATACTGAAGAATTTAATACCATTAGAGAACATGAAACTGCTAGAAACCCTTTTGCTGCTTCAGCAATGAGTTTATTAAAGGCTCCTGAAGTGGCTTTGACAACTGCATTCTCTTAAAATTATAATCACAATAAAAAAGATGAAAACACCTCATGGGGATTTCACTGCTGAGTATCCTCCGAAAGAATCAATGCTGCACAAATGAAGATATGGATTTAATCAATATCTTCCTTGTTGGTTCAAAATAATACATGACAGCTCTCCAAGCCAGTGGGTTTCAAGGAGCCTCAGCTGGGCAATGTGTGCTTTGATGTTTGAAAACGAAACGCCATTGCATACTCCAATAATAACTGCATCATCGTACAGGTGCAGATCATCTGATACAAGTTTCAAGCCGGATGAATATCTTGCATTGCTGGTCAAAAGGTTAGATCGTTGAGTGCTTTGTCTTTGAGATCTTTGATTAAAGTTGCCCAAAGTAAAACCGATATTTTGCTGACTATCGAGGCTTACCTCCGAAATGTGGCTCCACTAATCCAAATCAATAATGATCAATTGCAGCGAGCTTCAATAATCATTAGACGACTGAAAATGCCTTATATAAGTGATGGTTTAGCGGTTGATGCTGAACAGTCTTCAACTCACCTTCCACACGTGGCATCACTCGTGCCTGCAGCAAACGGGATGTACTAAATATGTTGGTTTTGCTGATTTGAACCCCAGTTGATACTTGGAGCACCAACGACGACAGGTTCAATTGTTCTGTAAGAGTGTTGATGCACTAAGCACAGCACCACGTTTTGCTCACTGCAATAAGCTTTCATCATTTGTGTTGTTGGTATTTTACATAAATGTAAATGCAAATCTTGGCAAGCACATTCCAGTAGGTGAGAATATGTTTCGCATTAATCAAAGACCACTGATCGTAATCAGAAACCCTCAAATGATAGTGACTAATTTATCACTTATGACACCGTGGATTTAAGACATTTAGTCAGTGAAAAAAGGCTTGATCTTAACGAAGATCGTCAAAATAATTGCTACAAATCAACATGAACCAACTGGTTCAAGGTGAGTACAATGCTGCTCGCAATGCTGCAGCTCATACACCTGTCAAACAACGCCAAACCAAGTATAATCAAGTACCCTTTTATGGACGAGCTGTGCATTGTTGCATTTACTTTTGCAGCGAATGATAAATAATGAAATGAAACTGATATGTTGACAAAAAGATAAGAGCTGCAGATCTTAAATTTAGCCATACCTGGCTTCATTAACACAATTGCCAATAGTGATGCTCTTGCTGATCAGTGCGTATCAAATTTGCTGACCACTTCGTGCTTCTGCTATGACATTGTCTTTTCATGATTTATCCGTCTGTTGTTACTCAACAATGCTGTTACACATTCTTCGCATTTACCGTTGTTAAATTGGATTTAGGACGGTGGAATGTCTATTTCGACTCTCTTGCGCTTTTGCGTCCATTTTTTAAACAATCAACATTTTGTACGTGATCAATGGCCGTTGCTTACGATCTGATTGCTAGTTGAGCTTTGCGTTTGTCTATTATTGATTAGCTTTTGATCTGACATTGAGGCCAGCGATTATAACCTGCGCAGTGGTTCAGAAAATTATCTGGTTCGGCACAACCAAACTATAGAGGTGACCGGGTATAGTCTTTGCCGCACCAGGCAATAATACTTGTCTTTACACTGTTGTGACACTCTGGATAATTTTTCTTACTGCCACGCGCATGCCACCAATTCAAACACACCCTTTTGTGTCACCCTAGATTTTTCGTTTTAGCAGGCAGTGGTTGGAATTCAAACTGACTCCACTGCGTGCGTCAGCGATTCTCTGGATACTATGTTTCACACTCACTCTTAGTAACCGCTCGCGCAATGCGAACAGTCATTTGCAGTTTGTCTAAAATTTTTGACTAAGTTGACCCGACTGTCTGAGAACTGGTTACTGGGTCAATGAGGGCTGTTGCGAACCTCCCGGATGTCTACATTTGGTCTCTTGGTGTCTGTCACCGGTTTGCGCCAGCGACGCTCTATGATGTAACTTGGTTCCCTATAAAAGGGGCTGGCGGTCTTTTCTACGTTTTTCATTCTTATATACTTCTTCACCTTTATACAAATCTTGGATTCGCTACAACATATACATTTTCCCCTTAATATATTATCATGCATTCCCTACATCTTTGGGTTATTTCTCACAGCATCACGTGAGAAGACCGGTGACAGACACCGAGGGACTGATTGTACACATCCGGGTGGCTCACAACAATAGATCTTCATCGATTCGCTACAACATATTTGGTGATTGCAGGATTTCGAGAATTTCCATCTAGTTTTCACTCAAACAATAATTCAGTCATTGATGAACTTTATTGAAACACGAATAACTATATGTACTCAACGTGATCTTTGGCGAATTTTAAAGCTTCTGCAGCAGAACCGCCAACCAATCCATGTTTCACTCTTATGTGCCTGCTTAATGCATCACCACGGCTGAAAGTTTTTGGTTGGTGAACTTTTTTCGGTAAATAATTGTTTTCCGAAGCAGCTTCAACATGTTGATCAAAATTATTACGAAGGCTTTGCTTGTAGTTTTTTTCACAAATTATACATTTGAATATTTTTTTTCTTTCAGCGTGAATTGTTTCTTGATGTCTTATTAAGTCATAAGGTCTTGAAAAGCGTTTCAAGCATTGAGCTCCTGTAGCAGGATTAAGCAAACGGCACTGATGATCTGAAGTAATAACATTTTTGGAACCGAAGACAGTAGTGTCGTTCTTATCCTCGTTATCTATGCCGCCCTTCAAAGGAACTGATTTCAATGTAGAAAGAGCACCCTGAGATTTATGTTTTTGGTTTTTGAATGGCAGAATGACAATAGAGCTTGAATTGATATTCACAAATTTCAAAATTTTTTTATTCTCTTGTGGTGAATGACTGCTATTTTCACCAATGTCATTCGGCAGAAAGTAATTATTTAATTTACCATGATGATTTGTGTCATTGGACAAAAAAGAATTGCATGAGGGAGAATCTTTACCCAAACATTGTTGATTTGATATTGCAGTAATAAAATTAGTGGCAACAGCCTTTTTAATCAGTTTGAAGTTACTCGAAGAATACAAATTGGAGTTTGGTTTTGATTTGTCTAGTTTAGACGTGTGCGATTGACCAAAATCAGGAATCATGTCTACGTCCATGATGTCGTAGCAATCATCATCAAAGTTGAAATTGGTAGAAGTGGTATCATTGTTATTATTGTTATTATTGTTTAATTCAGAGCCACTTGATAAAAAAGGAATGTTCCTATGATTAACTTGTGGAATTTTCAGCTGTTTAGTAGGATTCTGATAATCGTAAAGTGATTTGTCATCCAAGATATTGGTTTTCTCAGCGTTCACGTTGTTTTGTAAATTAGCATTAAGGGGGTAGTCAGAATTCGATTTAGAAAATATGATTGATGGAGGATTCGGATGAGGTGGAGAGCTGAATTGTTCAATAGAGAGACTGGAATTAGTTATAGAACGATTAGATTGATAAAAGTCTTTGGGTGATGATGATATTTCAGGAAGTTTTGGCAACTGGATACTCTGATGATCAAGTTGGGTAGTGTCATTTGAAGGATTTTGAAGGCTATTTAAAGAATCGTCATTGAAATTACATTCTTGATAATCTTTAGGAAAAGTTGAATCAAAAGAAATATTAAAGTCAGGTTCCAATTCTTGAGCAGGAATGACATTAAAACCCAACTCGGAATTGAAGGACATTTGAGGTTCCGCATTGTGACACTGATAATCTAGATTTTCAGGATCTTCATCCTCATCATCATTGTCTTCATCGTCTTCGTCATCTTCGTCATCTTCAAGAATTAAATCTTCTGGAGAAAGAAAGTAAGAGTTTAAGGAATTATGGTAGGTGGAATAGTCGATTGATGTTGAATAAAAACAATCAGAAGAAGGAACTTGAGGGTGATTCTGAGGATAACAGGTGTTTGATTTAAAAGTGAACAACGAGTTGTTTTGCAGAGAATTAATGTTTGAATTTATCATTTGATTATTTATAGTATGGTCGACGGGACTAGATTCATTATAATTGGTATTAGTGACATCGTTATTATTGTTATCGCTGTTATCACTATCGTTGTTATTAAGTTTATTGATTCTAGGAAGGTTATTTTGGGAACTATCGATCTTTGAATTGAATGCTGTTTTATTGCTTGAATTATTAAATTTAAATTGATTTGTTTTAGAATTGGAATTTGATTCATAATTGATAATGTCATAATTGATGTGATTTATATTGTTCATCTGATCAAAGTCGTCGAAAAAATTGAAACTATTAAGGTTATTTAAGCTATTAAAATTATTAAAGTTATTGAAGTTATTAAAGTTATTGTAAAAGGGAAAATCATCAGTATAGCTATCAAATTTGTTATTAGTATCACAAGAGTTATAAGAATTGTAAGAATCCAAAAAAGGTAAATGTCTTTTTTTGAAAGTTGAGGGTGAATCAGATGGTGCTACTGTTTTCGGTAACAGTAAATTATGAGAATTCATAGTACTATTAGAAAGATTTTTCCTTAGTAGGACCGTATTGTTGAGCAGGCTTTCATCAAGGAAATTGGTATTAGTGTTGTCGTCAAACAAGTCATTAGAGGATTTTGGCTTTGAATTGTCGTTGGTTGGAATCAATAAATTATCAGGATTGGCATACTGATTGAAAGGATGTATTGCAAGATAAGTTGAGTCAATTGAATTGGGGTCGTAGTTTATCTCATACTCCAGTAAATCGGAATCAAATTGGGAGACCATATTGAAATTCAGTGCATCCAGCTTTTTGTCCATGTTGATGCCAGCATTCTCTGTACGATCATCAAAAGTGTTTTTGTTTACTTTCAGGTTATTTGTGACTTTGGGATTGGTAAAGTCCAGAATAGGGATGGTGTTTTTTGCATTATTTAAAGGGAGACTCCTGTTGAAAGAGGGAGAGTTGGTAGGTGTGTTGGCAAAGGGGAAATTGAAAATGTCATTGAAATTTGAATAGCTGCTGTTTGCAAGAGTGGATAAATTTGGGGTGGTGCTGTGGTTGTTGACAGGGGAGGAATTGAGGTTCTGAAGAGCATGGATGCTGTTGATGAATGAGAGCTCACCCTCAAGAAGATCGTTGTTGGAAAGAGATCGTGGGTAAACAGATAAAAACGCCATTGAAAGGAAGAATGAAAGTTCGATTGTGAAGCAGAGCAGAAAGAGTTTTCTCAGCGGAAGCAACAAGAGCATCTTTTTATATCTTCTTCCCTGCTGTTTTTGCTCCTCCGCCAGCGCCCGCATTACTAATTCGCCGGATCCACAGCCCTGGCCAGTCGAAGCTTCTAGAGCACTCGCAGCCGCAGCCGCCGATAGCGTTGTTATGCAGCGGCCAGAAAGCGCGCGCAGACACTCACAGCGCTGAGCTGTCCTGCCGGCGGTAGCGGGCTTACACCGCAGACCAGCCACGTTTCAACCTTCCAAGCGCGGCAGCACCGCCTTTCGTTCCGTAGCGCTGGTGTAAGACAGCTTCAATTGCACTCCAGGTGTCGTCATCGAGCTCCACACCTCTGGATGATTGTTCAAACGCTGGAGATTCCGCTGCTGGTGTGGCTGGTGTGGCTGGTGTACTTTCCTGCTTGAATGGGGACACGAACAACATCAAGTTTAATTTCTTATTCTTCACCAACAGAATGTTTTTGCTTACTACCTCGTTCAAAAACTCAGAGTTATTTAGCATCTTGCTCTTAAGGAGTATTTTGATTTGAGCCACAGACTTGATTTTATCGTTCAACTTTTTCTCTCGGACTTCATTAAGAATCATGTTCTTTATCTGGTATATGGTGATGTTCTGATTCCTGATCACCAAGTCCATGTTCAATTTGAAAAGTGGCTTGACTGATTTCAAGTTCAATATTATTTCCTCTTCTTTTCCGCCACTAGTCCTCTCCTTTTCATTCAAGTCAATTGGCCCAAACTTCATTTGCCCTTCGACAGACTTATATGGGTTAAAATTCTGAAAGCTAAGACGTAATTTATCTCTATTTCCCTTATCATTCAAATCCAATTTAAACTCATTTGAGTACGTATAGTCAATCTCATTCCCATTCGAGCTGCTTTGATAGTACAACAACTTCAAGTAGTTTTCGCAAATCTCCATATCATCGACCATCTTGCTGCAAATCAAATCCCGTTACAACAACAACCTCAATTGTACGCTTTTATGTTTCCTTGATTGTATTTACTGCTGTAATCTCAAACCAAAGTCTTTTCAAAAAAGAAAAAACTGCTTCTTGTGTTTTGCCTTTTTGCTTACGATGCAAATATCACACGTGACTCTGTTATCTGAATAAGCGTTCAGTTCTTGGTATGGTTTTCTTTCATCTCATCTTTTAATCTCGTTGGTTTATTTTCTGAGGTTTTCTTATTGTCTCCTTCTTATTTTTCTTCTTCTTCCTCTTTCTCTTTCTCTTTTAATTCTGGTTGTTCCAGTTATTTCTTCCAACTTTTTTATGGTTTGAGTATTAATTAATCACTCATCAATCAACATGTCTGCATCTATCACTAATTCAAACCCTTCTGATCAACATGTTCCGAATCGTTCTGTTTTCAATAAATTAGATGATTCAATTTATTATCCTTTACTCGATTTAGATTATCAAAATCGTTTCATAATCTTTAAACCAGCTTATATCAAAAACATCTCTTGTGGTTACTGTAAACTCTCAAAAAACTCAAATCAAGTCTTTCTCCAAATCTACTCAATAGATATTAAAACCTACGAAATCTTGATCAATAAAAACTACAGGAGATCTGGCATCTATCTCTATAAATTTGATTTGCTAAGAAACTGTTGTAATTTGTATACAATCCGTTCAAATTCTTCTTTCTTGAAACTATCAAATGATCTCAAAAAGTCCTTGAAAAGATTCATTCATTTTTTTAATCCTTCCTTCAATATATTTCCAATAGATAAATCTCTTCCTTCTTCCTTTTATAATCTTCTTCTAAAGTTTTGGAACCATCAACGCACAAAAATTAAATCCGTTTTCACTTCCCCTAATTTCACCCCAGAAAAATATAACCTATTCAAAAAATACCAAATAGCTATCCATAAAGACAAACCTTCATCTTTATCTGAAAAATCTTTTACCGAGTTTTTATGTGACAGCCCCTTTAATATCAATTATGATTCTCCCTTTTATCTTCAACAACTAGACATTCTAAATAACTCTTGGTATAAATTTGACTCAAACCAAATCCCTGATTTAAAAACAAAACAACCTTTCTCCAAAATCTTGGGTTTGTTGCATGAATGCTATTACTACAATGATACTTTAATTGCCATTTCCTTCATTGATGTTCTAATTAACGGAATCTCTTCAGTCTATTTCATATATGATCCAGATTATAAAAAGTTATCTTTTGGAAATATCTCCGCCATTAAAGATTTTCTTTTATGTGATTTATTGAATAAAGACTATTATTATTTAGGCTATTATATTAGTAATTGTCCTAAAATGAACTATAAAAAGAAATTTGGAGGTGAATTACTAAACATGATCAACTATAGATACTATCCAATATCTTTATTCGAAAATAACTCTCGCCTATTAAATAATTATCAATCCAATTCGCTTTTGGAAAATTTTGTATGTCTTTCAGATCAAAATGATCTCTCAAAACTTCAAAATTTTGAAAATAATAATGATAAAATTATTCGTAAAACTATCAATGAAAAAAGTCAATCCCACTTTGAATTCAATCTCGATATTTCCAGGTCCCAGTCATTAGAACTTAACCCCTGTTCTTATTCAGTAGAAAATAATTCAAAGGATAAAACTCTTTTAAATGTATCGGATTTATTGTATAATTCTTTCACTAATAAAGGGACGGCTTTTACTGATCTTAAATCTATCGTTTCAACTTTTAAAAATGACCATAGCTTAACTCTCACCATAAACTCTAGTGAATTAAAAACTATATACAACCCAAAATTCATTAATTCAGTCAAAAAAACTGGTGATATTGATATTAGTAACAAAGTCGAAGATAAAAAAGTTGACGATGATGATAATGATGACGATCACGAAGATAATGATAATGATAATGATATTGACTTGGGAGCTTTCCAATTACACAATAGAAATAATACTTACAAGAGATTGCCTTTAATAATACCGGGTCTAATTCCATTAAGTCAAATCAATACATTAATTAAAAATGGAAAGCTAGATAACTTGACAGTAAAAATGTCTTGCTATTCTTTGTGGCTACGTTTTGATCAGGTGAAATTCTCCGACATACCTGAAAAATATGAGCCGCTTAAATTCATTTTGATAGATCTTGTTAGATTGTTTGGTTTGGACATCGTAAATTGTATTTCACTATTCTTGTAAATTGGTTGATTGTATTTATTTATTGTTAGATATCCTTCGTAAAATCGCCATAATAGGAAATATGTGCTAATACGCATGCTCTCTGTACAAATGCTCGTTGCCGCAGTCGTTATCAAAACACCAGTGGGATGAACCATCTTTCCAATTCGGTAACTGCCAAAAACCCTTTTCAAAATTCTATGTTGAGGCATTTTAATTTAAAACCCAATACCTCCAACTAACAAGGGATATAATTCGTACAACGTTTGATTTTTTACTACTATGTCTATTCTTTTATGGCATCAACTTTTCTCAGCTGAAGCTCATTAAAGATTTTTTTTTTTTTCTGCTTATTTCTTTTTCTAGGTCTATTAGTTCCGAAAATACCAAGTTTGGAATCGAGACTATTTTGGAATCTCACCAACAAAAATGTAGATTAAAAACAATTATTGGTGTAAATTTCATTTAGATTATGCTCTATTTTCATGGTGGTATCATGTCAATTTTTAAACTGAAAACATTTTTATATTATTTTTCCCATGACATTGAGTGGAAGGATTTTGAGAAAAGGATCTTTCAGAATTTTGTGGATTCAAAAGTTTACTAAAACTTACTCAAAATATATCCTTTTTAAAAAAAATTACCTAGCGATATATAAAGGTGATGTCTTTGTAAATCAGAAATTATGAAAGACAACTAAATACTAATCAGATATTTCTTTAATGCCATGCAATTTAGCACGCCATGACCGAACTTCAATTAGATGAACGGTGGAAGAAAGCAAAAGAAACGAAAAAAATTAAAAAATAAATCTAGATCTGTTCTTCTACCTACTTCAATTAAGGAAAGGCATTCAAATCATAAGAATTAAGAGATTTCCATAAAAAGTCCCATGATTTTTCAGCCTCAGATAAATATAGTTGTGAATCAGTTTTAATTATTTTGTCAATGTTTTCACCGCAGCTTAAAATTGCTTTTCTTGCAGCTATTCTTGCTTCTTTCTCTTGTTGACTTGGTTTATTCATTTTCTTTAAAAACATTTTCTTTGACAATTCTCCGAAAGCGATCAAAGCATTCTCATATGCTTTCTTTTTGGTTTTTACTGCCTGCTCTTTGTCACCAGTGGCATCTCTCAAAAAACTGGCTTTATTTTCTGTTTCAATACAGAGCTCCAAAGTTTTATATATTAAAACAGAGGCTATTAGGATTATTCCGTCCTCATCAATCAATCCCTGGTTGATTGAAATATTAAAAATTGGTATCAAATACTCTTCCAAGTTATAGATGTACTGCTTAACTAACTTCTCACTTGTTACTAAAGTATACAAAATTTCATATCCAGTCTTACGTAAATTAGCCGCATCATCCACTTTACGTTTGTATGTTCCAATTCTGACAAATTTAAAATATTGCTTCTTGGGAACCAACTGATCAAAGATATTTGGTAGCAAAACGGATAAATCGTGCATAATAAGATCCGGTGTATTGTGTAAGCAAGTAATAATTGTGCTAAAAATAAGTTCTTTAATCAAAAGATTCTCATTAGAAAGGGAACGTAGAATATAAGGGAGTATGTCATTTATTTTCACAGAAAGTTCAATTGATTTCATACCAAGTAATAAAAACTTCACGGTTGAAATGATTGTATACACCAAAGAAATTTCTCTCTGAATATCATGTCTCTCTAATTGAGTTTTCAAATTGACAATAAATCTACTATCAATCAAGCAAATAGTTGATAAACATTCAGCAACAACAGTAGATTGACTTGAGTTAATTGAAATCTCATTACGTTCAGTGGTTATTAGCGTGTTCCAAATATTTTGCAATTCTTCTGCATTGAAAGTGTCCACATTTTCTAAATTTTGTTTTAATGATAAAATCAAAAGCTTCTTGTGATTACTGTCATCGCTTAGTATTCTTTGTAATAAAGTTGGCAAGTAAAGATCAGTATTTCTGAACACAAAATGCCCAATTGCACCAGCTGCAGCCACTTGAACTTTTTCAATAGGAGAAGACAATTTTTCGTAAAACTTTTCAATGGGAACTCGGAGAGTTTTGTATCTACTGACAAATCCCAAAAACTGGATGAGGAACACCTCCTGTTGTATATTCAATTTTCCGCTTCCGAAAAATTGTGTCTCATAGTGGTTAATTTCTTTCAATAAATCACTTGTGACGGCAAACACAGCCAAGAACTCACAGGTCATACTGTTTTCAATCTTGAGCTTATCATTTTTAGCAATCAACAAAAAAAATTTGAATGACAAATTGTGATTTAGTGAATTAGCTAGCACCTGAGAAAACTTCAACATATTCTCGTTTTGTTTAGAGTCGAATACCTTGAAACAATAAACTACCAATTTCAATAAGTCTTTCAAATCACCATCACCAATAATCTGATATTTTTTTTCGAAAATTAACAATGAAAGGCATTGCAAAGAAGAGCACAAGTCAGTTGGATCTTTTGGAGTGTTATGGAAAGTTAAATTGATCAATCGCTGTATGTCCCTTTCATCTAAATCATCGATATGTTTCAACTCAAGCAAAGTACTAACCAATTTCCAGCCATTTGATTTATAAACTACCTGGGAACTAGGGAAAACGAGGTTCATACTTGTAGAAAAAAGTGTTTTCATATAATTACCTGGTAGTCTCAAAGTTTTGGCAAATTTATCAGACTTTAAAATTGATAGCAATAAATCAATTGAAGTATCTGCTGTTTGGTCATATCCTATATTATTTACGAAACAATCAATGATTTTAGTTGAATATTGATTTTTTCCATCAAAATTCATAAAAACATTCCTCAAGCACGCAAGTGACATTTCTCTTATCCTAGCAAGAAATCTGGTTGATGTTGATTTGAAGATAATCAGGCCAATAATCCTATCTGTAATTGATGAGATATTTTGGCTATCTTTGTAATAAGAATTGTGATTAAAGTTTCTGCATTCAAAAAAAGTTGTGACCCCATTTAAAGCATTCACAAAATTTGAAATACTTCTATCATTTAAACCACTTAGATGATCATCTAAGATTTTCACCAAAAGACAATCATCTAATTGCAAAAATAATTCTGTTTTAAATAGAAATGTTGAGTAAAACTTCAATAGCCTTGAATTTGAAAAAGGGATACTCAACTTATTTTTTGAATTTAGAATTGATTCTATAGTAACATTCAAATTATTTCCACTAAAAAAGAATATTTTCTTTTGATTCGTATTATCTTGATCTGAACCATCATTATCATTGACGTGTTCTTTTAGATCACCCTCATTAATTACTTCAAGCAATGTAAGAACGGCTGAAAAAATTTCGACAGACTTCACTTTTTTATTCATTAAATAATTCAAATTTTTAATTAGTAAACTTCTCAAACTCCAACTTTTTTCACTTAAATAAAAATCCTCTAAAATATTAGGGAATTTTTTAATGGAATAAAAGAAGTCAGCTAGCGTTTTAATTATAATAGAGTTGACAGATTCATCATTTTCCATTTTGATCCTTTTAATTAAATTCTTAAGATAACGATCATGGATTTTTTTTGTTAAAACGATGCTTACATCAGACAGACAAACTTCTTGACTATAATTGTTATTACTGGTAAATAATAGATCAATTAAATTAATTGATTGTTGACGTAATGTAGAAGAAGTGTCACTATGTTCCTCATCATCGTAATATTCGTCATCGTCACTGAAATCGAATTCACCTTCATAGCCATCATTTTCTGAGAGATTATCTTGGACACCATCATTTATTTCGATGTCCTCATCATCATCAGATTGGATGTTATCTTCCATATTAAAGGGATCGTAGTTGATAAAACTGTTTGAAACAGTAATAAAAGAATTCAAATTGTCAGATAAAAACTTTTCATTTAAATCAATGGAGCCATTGGAATGTAATGATTTATTTAATGAATTATTAATAGATATGATATGAAACAAAAATTTGATAAGATTTTGTAGACAAGTTAACGAGGTTTCTCTTTTAGAGTCGATTTTCAGTTTGAGGTCATCATTATCTTCATTATCATCGTCAAAATCTTGGGTTTTTAAAAGATCCAAGTTAAGAGTTTTTAGTATTAAATCATTATAAATTTTGGTAAATAAATTAGCATTATCATTCAGATTTAAATCAAAAATGCTTGTGTTGGAAAATTTTTTGGTCTCATTAGTAACTGAACTTAAAATATTTGAAATCAAAAGTAATTTGATAGTCTCAATATCATAAAAATTATGATTGTTATTATTGTTGTTGTTGTTGTTGTTGTTATTAGTGAGACTATCCTTTTGACTTTTTATATGATTTAAATTTAAAATTGAGTCAAATAAAAATTTGTAGTTTTCTTCATATGCAAATCTGGATATAATTGAAATAGCTGCAATTGATTTGTTGAATAATAAATTAAAGGAATTATTTAAAACCAAATCCAATAAAAACTCTAACAACAACTGGATTTCAAGCGGTTTAAAATTCGCGCCGAATTTACTGATAAATTCTATGATTATTCCGATGTTATCTAATGATAAGACAGGGAAATTGAGTTGTTTCAAGTTGTGGATTTTGGAAGTTTTATCAAAAATTGGAATTGACTTTAAATAAGAATTTGAGGTAGGATTTTGAAAACCGTTTAGTAAAACAGGGAAGAAAAAATTTTTGACTAAAAATCTTGGTAATTCAATTTTTTTCAAATTTAAATTTTTTTGAAATGAAATTTTTTTTGCTGTGTCAACGAATGAATATTGGTTAAGAAAATTTTGATCAATTTCAAACAAGTTTTTGAAAATGTTTTTGATCGAGATGGTAAAAACGTTACAACTAATATTATTTTGTTGTTTAGAACTATCAAGTGGGTCGTATGATATTAATAAGCTATTTTCTTGATTGAATTGATCATTTTTGATTTTCAAAGTATTCAATAGAGTGAAGAGCTGAACATCAGTCAACCACATGGATAAGTGATTGAAAGAAATCAATGATTGATTTGAAATTTCTGTGTTGGGATCATTCAATTTTGAGAATAAGTTTAAGATTACTTGGTCAATTAATTGAGGATAGTTACCAAAACACGATCCTCGATGAGATATTAACATGGTCAAATCCAACAAAGACATGAATCTGATATCAGGATCTGAATCATCAAGATTAGAGAGCAAAGCATTAAACTCAGACAAGGTATATGTCTTGGGGATTTCATTTGGCTGAAATTGGTTCATCTTGAAGTGGTATCTTGAACAATAAAATAGAATATAAAATCTGCCACCAGTGATCTAATAGAATCACACAAAAAAGAAGTTTTCTCTGTTGTTCAGAAGCAATTGCAGATCCAGAAGAAAGAGGGTTTGCGAACTGAAGGCAAACTATCCATAAAATTGCCTTCTTTATATCTCCTATAAAGCTGGCTACCGAAAGGGCAGCTGCATGAGCCCGAAAGAGGCAGGTGTGTGCTCACGTGCAGATTGTCCGAATAGTTCCAATTATTATTTCGAAAGAATATCGTGGAGAAAAAAATAAAACACGAAACGGTTTTGCTCACCGTCAAACTGGCCGACTATACTTTTCGCGTTCCGTTCGTTCAACATTGACGGACGTATCAGTAACGTATATGCGAGCACTACCCGGCTTATTGTTCAACCCGAGAAATGCCTGTCCGCGCACGTGCTCCGGTGGGTGCACGCGAGCGCCACCGCCATGAATAACACTTCTAACGTGGCAGCAACGTGTTTATGGGTGCAGGAGTCGCCCGACTGGGCACAACCGTCGCCCAGTCAAAATGTCTGATCTGGGACTTAATGCCATTTCCTGTCCCTGCACCTGAAATTTTTGAATAGCACTCGCTATCTTCCAAATGCGCTGGTGTTATTCGATGGTCTGCTTCTTTATCTCTCACACCTCCGATCCACCTCTGCTGCTTTTTGTTATCACCATTTGCTATTTAATGCATTTACAATAGAATCGCGCTAGCCTTTTCACTATCTCTATCCACATATCTACTGCTCTAGTTTTTATTATTGATACTGTTCTTGCTTTCACACCGATATTGCTCGTTCTTTTATCAGGTTTGAATTCGTCTTTAATAATCTTTTTTAGAATGTTTTGATTGCGCACCGAAACCACTATCATGCTCCCAGGCTATCATACAATCACCTATTGTCTGTCCAATCAACTTGATATGTTCTCCTATTTTATTATGTTGTACATTGAATTACGCTAGTGCAACTTAATATCAATCATTCAGTTTCACTTTACACATACTAGCAAAATTGAATCTAAAGTCTAACCAGTTAAACTTTTATCAATTTTGGACATTTTTTGGTTGTTTTCCTTTGTCTGTTCTTTATAATAAAATAAAGATGATTTGATCTAATTCACACTAGAAATTCAGATATATTCGAGTACTGGCAAGATACTTCGAGTTGTGGAGCTGCTATGCAATATTTTAGCTTTCAAGTAGACATGATTGAGCAAAAATAATACACTAAATTTGACTGATAAAGAGTGGAAGATACTGAAAAAAGAAACCAAAATCAATTCAAATAAGTTCCAGTCATCTGTAATTTTACTTTTAGCTTATATCAAAATTAAAATGCCTTAGTTTAGCTGTGTCTTTTTTTTATAAATATAAGCCTTTTTTATTTCTCAATTTTGTAGAAATTATCTAGTTTTTCCTCTTTTTTCCTTCTTTTTTTTTTTATGTTTTTGTTGTTTTTCTTTACTGTTTTAAATTTTGTTTTTTATGTCTATGGCTTTGTGGTTCTTGTAGTTTTAATTTGGGTTTTTTTTTGACTTTTATCTTAATATTTGTATTTAATATTTACCTTTATTTGTATTTAGTATTTCATAATAACATCAATATTCGCATCATTTAAATCTTAGTGTTTATAAAACTCTCTAACTTTTTATAAAAATGGGTTTATTTTCCTCCAAAAAAGATAAAGAATCGAGAAAAGATAAAGATAAAGACAAAGATAAAGATAAGAAACATCGAAAGAGATCATCAACTTTAGGACCAATACCACTAACAAGAAGATCCCATTCATTAATCACAAATGATAACCGAAACAATAGTATCATCAATTCTTCAAAAAACACTCACAGAAATGACAGAGTATCCAATTCAAATAAAACTTCTTCTCCTTATACTCTAAATAAAAGATCAAATTCTTTACCAATAACAACCAAATCCAATTTAGGAAAATCGTTGGACATCTCAAGAGATTCCTCGATTTTAAAGCCAAATAAAACAATTCCTAAAAATTATGGCCTACCTTCAATTGATTCATACCATCAAAAGCCTCCCAAATTATCAATAAATTCCATTGTTGAAATGAATACAAAGAGTAAATTCAAAAGTGATACTAATCACAACAGTGTTCTAAATTTAAGCAATGCTAATCCCAATAATAACGGTAGCGATAATAATAATCCATCAGGAATACTACCCTTGCCATTGAAAGATCCAAATGAGTTTTTGCCAACAAATTTATTACAGGAATATCAGTCTTTAAATGATATATATATTTTTCCAAACAACAATTTCAACGACTCAAAAAACTTGGGCAGTGGATCAAGTGCTGTAATCAAATTGGTTCTCAATAAAAAAAATCGAAATGTAAAATATGCCTTGAAAATATTAAAATTGTTTAAAAGTGAATATAATACTCCACTAACATTTTATAAACGAATCTCAAAGGAATTCATCATAAGTAAAATCGTATCGAATAATAAGCATGTCATTACAACTGCAAACTTATTAAAGATACCAACAACTACACAATTTTCAAGAAGTTGGGGATTGACTTTGGAATTTTGCTCAAATGGAGATTTATTCGGATTAATCATCCAAAGAGGCTTTAAAAATGTGAAAATCGAATTAAAGTATTGTTTGTTTAAACAGATTACGTTGGGGTTGAAGTTTTTGCATAATATGGATATAATTCATCGAGATTTAAAACCAGAAAATGTCTTAATTAATGAGCATGGAATTTGCAAAATTACAGATTTCGGAGTGAGTGATTTTGGACATGAAATAATTGGGAACTTGGAATCACCCATAAAGAAGTACAAAACGTTTTTAGGATCACCCCCATATGTTCCACCAGAAGTGTTTAAATTTTCTAAAAAACTTTCATCAAAAGAGATTGCAAATACAAAAGGATATGATGGATTTAAGATGGATTGTTGGTCGTTGGGAATGATTTTATTTGCGATAATTTATCAAAACACTCCGTTTATTGACCCATGTACTGAAGATCCCAATTATAAAAAATATTTCAACTTTATTATGAATTATCAAACAAATTTAACAAATTATAGTAACGGAAATATTAGTAATGGTAATAGTAATAGTAATAGCAGCAGCAGCGGCAATATGAAAAGTTTAACTTATGATAATTTCAAATGGGTGAATGGGTTTAAGAATAATAATGTTAAGAAAATAGCATTGGGGTTGGTTAATCCAATTGAAGAAAAACGAATTGGACTTGATGATATATTTAAGGATGAATGGTTCAAGAAGGTCGAGATGTGTATGGATGAAAAAGACGAAGAATATGATTTAAAATATTATGAAATTGATGGGAAAAATAGCAGAAACAAGTATATTGATTATATACCAATCAGAGAGTATTTTGGTAAGAGTAGCAATGAGAAAGATGACAAGTTAAAGGACAAAAATCCAAATAGTGATTCTACTGAAATTGATATCAAAGATAATAAAAATAATGAGAAAATGGATACTGATAAAGCTGGTAAATTTTCGATGATTGATGATATAGAAAATGAGCATAAACAAAACCGAAACAGTTTCAATAAGATGAAAATTTCGATTCCAGATTATATAAAAGAGGAAGATGAGATTAAAAGTGTGTTGAGTAAAATTATCAGCAACGATGTTGACCATAATAGACATGTTTTAGAAGATATATGTGCACATGAAGATAAACACAATTGCAAGGTTGAGAGCAAAGAAGAGAGCAAGACTGGTAGCAATGAGAATGGTAATTTCAGTGATATGAATGATATTATCAGCTTGAAAGACAGCACTGAACTTAACAATAGTAGCGACAATAGTGAGGATAATAGTGATAAGGAAGGAGGCTCGTCACCTAGTACAATTTCGTCCGTATTAGATTTTCAAGTGAAATCGAAGATCGATGTCAAGATGAAGATGGGTAAAGAGTTTGACCAGGACCCTGGAAAGCTAAACGATGAGAGCCACATGAAGTCAATGATTCCAAATGATATCTTGAGCAAAGCACCAGCTCACAAAAGCCAGACAAGTCTTCAAAATGGGTCACATTTGTTTTACAAACAGAACTCGAATCATAACTATGAACCCACCAGCAATAACAAATACGGACACAAATACAACTACAATTACAGCTCCAATTATGCCTATAGCTACCACCATAAGCAGAGCTCAACAAGCTACATGGATAGCAATGGTAATGTGAACAGCGAGGAGAGCTCGTCAGAGGAATCGTTGTACTTCAAGGGTCGCACCAGGAAGCACTTGCACAACGACATTGTGAATATCCCAACAATTGGGCTAGGAGGTTCAATACATCACAACGGATTTCGAATTAGGTAGATCATCAAGATAGAGCTGCGGATAGCCAATAATAAAAGTAGCAGTAAATTGAATTCGGAGAAAGCCAGATATATGGGTGACAGTATCAGCCGCAGGTGTCAGACCTATGTGGCATGAAGACACATGACACGTGCACATTGCCAAGAGAACGTGACAGATCTGCTGACTCAGCGGCTTCTTATGCGATCCAGCCAAGAGCCAGTGGCATGGGCTCCAGTGCCAGTGAAACAAACCGCATTAGTCAGCAGCGCTGCGGATAGAGCCACGTTTCCGGCGCCTATCCGTCCCGGAACCAAGGAGAAAGCGGAAGCCAGTCATTTTTCCGACGGGGCCAGGAGCAGCTCTTTTTTTTTCAACAATGCAAAGCCTAAAAAATGAGCTCAAAAGAAACAGCTCTTTGGAATATAACGAGAGTCTGCATCTGAAAAGAGGACTCATCTATCTTTTGCTGACTATCCAGCTTACACATTTCATCCACCAAACCCGACAGAGTACTACTGTTTTGCTTCCACTGTTCTTGTTTTGACTTCTCAACGTTTTCTGCTGCTTCAGTGTTGGTTTCAGTGCTTTTATTCCACTCGAGTGTCTTCTCCATCCATTTGCGTTTCGCAGCGCCTTGATATTTATATTTCCTGATATTTGTTATTTCTATCTTGTTATCTCTGTTTTAAATGTGTTTTAGACTTTTCTTTTGCTGTGCCTGAGATTTTGTTTTTGATTGCTTCGTTCTTCCCCAACCTTCAAATTTACTCTAATTTATTCACTGGATGAATTTCATCCACGCTTTCTTATATTTATCCATATTTAGTTATACTTAATTGCACCACACTGCCACCTTTTTGAGTCCCGTTATATTTTTTTCATTTGGAGCATGGGCAGCACTTTTCCTACCAGCATTGGCTCTTACAACACCAAAGGTGTTGACAACAACATTACTATAACCAACAGTCTCAATGTCAACATGAACTCTCGTTCCGATTCACAGTCTCAATCTTCCTCAAATCTAGCAGCTAGTGATTCCATCGTGAATGAGGATTTTGATTCAATCTCAATTAATTCGGTCATATTAAATAATGACAGTAATCATACCGACAATAACGATGAGAAAATTAAAAAATTGGACATTTTAATCAACAAAGTCCATGGCTTGCCCAAATTTAATTTGAATTTAAATCTCAATATCAAAGACAACATTTCGAATTCGAATCACAATAACCATTGCACTCACAATCGCGACCATAATCACAACCACAACCATAATGGCGAATTCAATTACAATCTCATTCTCCAATCTTTAAGAGATTCCCACAAATCTTCAAAACTAAAAAGACAACAAAAAAAGGAACAGCTAAAACTAAAGTTTAAAAATCATGTCAATTCTAAAAGCAATATGGTTAAAAAAAGAATAAATAATATTAACAACAAATTGAATAACAACTCAATTAACATTCTCAATATTAACCCTAATAACGTCAACAAACTTTATGGTCTGAGCAATAATATAAACAGAAATATAAATAAAAATACAAATACAAATACAAATACAAATAAAAATAAAAATACAAATTCAAATAAAAATAAAAATAAAAATAACGATATCAACATGAATGATTATAATAATAACAGTAATGTTAGCATCGATGCCAATGATGATAAAAGCAACAATACAAACACCAGTGTCAATGGCAGCTCAATTTTCTTACCCAATGTCTCAAAAAAATTCAGTGAATCTTTTATACAACCTCTTTTTTTCTTAGATAAGCCATGGTATTTCAACGCTTTTTCCTGTTTTTCCATTTGTTCTCCCAAGGGTTTTAAATGGATTCACTCAAAGTCATATATAAGCGATAGTTTCAACACGAATATCAATATGAAAAACAATAAAAACATGTCAATATTAATCAATAACACAAATAAAAGAATTCACAAATCCCTAATCAACTTGTCTAAAAACTGTCATTTCCATATAAAATTGGCCAATTTTTTTCTCCATTTATGGTCAAAACCTCTAAATCCCTCCAACCTTCACGACTTGCCCCCAATTCAAATCATTTTTTCTCTATTCAATTATCTCATCAACTCAATTGGCTCGTTGAATATTATGATAAATAAAGAGTTAATTAACATCTTTTTCGATCAAAACGGCAATTTAAATCTATCCAATTTCAATTACTCAGACTATTTATCTCTCAACAGCTTGATAGCAATTTCCTGCTCTATCAAAATGGAGTTTTTACAGGAAAAACTATTTTCAATCGTCTCCATTGCCAACCATTCCAAATCTCTTGAGAATGAAATTATTTTGGAATTGAAAAATTTAACAATTTACAAGTACAGCTCAGTTTACAATTCCATGTATTACTATAATCGAATTTCAATCTTGGGAGATGGAATCAAGTCCGTATTAGCCTTACTATTATTATTTTTATTGTCGGAATTGGAAAATTATCATCAGTTGTCCTCGATTATTTCAGTAACCTTGATCAGGCTATCTCAGGAATTGGGTTTGAATAGGAATTTATATTACTACGGTTTATCAGATAGTGAAAGGGAATCGAAAAAGAAGTTGTGGTGGTTATGTTACTTGATTGATCGATACGTTTCTTTTAAAAATGGCACACCCTTGATAATTAACGAAATCGATATTGGGGTAGACTATCCATCGTCATTTAATCGTGTGAATCAAGTGAACTCGTTTCAGAACAAAGATATTTCAAACGAGGAAAGAAACCGTATTTTATTGTCAATGTTAAATGAAACCCCTAGAGAGTTTTTCACTGCATACTATCTTTCTATATGTTTGTTTTCAACCAAGCTCTACAAAACTTTTCAAACCACCAAGATTTTAAAACTCTCGTCTATAACCGATGTTACTTACACTATTGAGATTTTGAACACGGATCTCGATAATTGGAGAAAAAGTTTGCCTGATAAGCTTCAGCCCTTTGATATTACCAGTAGCAACTATTCTATTACAAGCAGTACTAGCAGTATGAGCAGTATTCTATTCAATCAAAGTTTGCGAGCTAAACAGATAATAAACTATTATTTCAAGAGGAATTTTAGGGAGGACTCGATGAATTCGACAAATGGGATGAATCTAATTGGCGGGCATATAGTTTTGTTGCATTTGCTTTACTACAATTTTGTATTACAAATCCATCGGTTTTCATTTGGATCAAAGCACTGGGTTAATTGGGTTGATGAGATTTTGGCCAAAGGCAAAGATAAAGAGAAGATGTTTCTGTCGAGTTGTTTCAGTACGTTTTATGAGAACCGAAGCTGTTCATCGATCAAGAGTATGAACAGTAATAACAGCAGCAGCTGCAATGACAGCGAGAAAAAGTCAATTTTTGGATATGTGAAAGCAAAGGAATATTCGAGGCTTTTGAGCAATAAAAGTGGGACTAATCGTTGTTTGATAGCAGCGCAGTTGATTTTGGTGACTATTAGTGAGATTCAATCTAGTTATGTTCCTAGTTTGTATCTTACACATTCGCCGTCGTTTTCTGCGTTTATCTTTTTGTTTGCGTTTTGTTTGGAGACGATGGGAGAAGACAAGAAGAAGGATTATTTGGTGTTGGAGATAATTGAGTTAATGATCAAGTCATTGAAATTTTTCAGTTGTACTCAGTACTTGAATTATCTGAGGATTATTAAATTTGACCTACCGTTTTACTGTTACAATTTCAAGAACATATCGGCGGCTAGTTTTGTTTTGTCGTTATTGAAGGTGTTGGTGTTGAGTTTCCAGGTTAAATCTAATATTGAGCCAAGTAATAATTTTGAGCACTATTTGAATTTCAAAGATAAGGTTGATAAAGATTATTTTGGCAAAATGGAGAGTGGTGTGTCAAGCAAGGGAAAAGACAAAGAATGCAAGTATTTTGAATCGGAAAAGATATTAAAAGAAGTTCGAGAATTTTTAAAGGAGATATTTTTATTTGAGGACAATGAAGATCTGATAAACGATCTGACGGACGAGAGTGTGGTGTTCAATGAAAAAAAGAGTGTGGATGGAGGAGGAGGAGATATTGGGATTGAAGATTACGATGAAGGAGAGATCGAGAAATTGACGTCTGATCATATATTTTCCAAAATGAGAGAAAAGTTTTGTGAAAGGAGGATGGATAAAGGAAACGAGGTTTTTTCAGAAAAGAGGGTGTATAAGCCATTTTGCCATTATGTTACATCGTCGATAAGGTCGACGAGTCCCAAGGGGAGTGGATCACCGCCCAGCACGTTCAGTTCAGTTCGAGACTCTAAGATCTCTATATCTACAGGAACCATCAACTCGTTTCGAAACCGGTCAAGGATCAGTATCAATGATTTATTGGCGGAGCCATTGGGAATCAGCAGGACGTCGTCAAAGACGTCATTGAGTTCGATCAACTCGAATGGGGATTCATTGCTTAAGAAGTTTGGAGAGAGTGAGATATTCAAGATGCGAAGCAATAACTCGCAGATGTCGACCAGTATTTTGAGCAAGATGACGAAGAATTTGAAGATATCTGGGGATCAAAGCAAGGAGGGTCGAGCGAAGGAGGAGGAGGAGGAGGAGGAGGAGATTGATAACCATTCGAAGATTTTTGAAAACAGTTCGTTTGATTGTTTGCAGCTTTTTCGGTTACCCAATCTATTGTTTTTCAGTGAGAATGATAAAAAAAATTTTTCGCTGTTAGTTTAGAATACAGCCAGGGCTGATTACAAAAGCGCGTATTTATATATTTTTATTATGAAAGATACAAGTAATGATTTTTTATTTCTTTTGATATTGTTTTAATTTAGTGTGATTTGAAAAAAATAGATATAACATAGGGTTAGTGTAGTAGTATTGTGAATGGGATGGTAAAGAGGAAAGCGACGAAAGGAGATAAACCAGGAAGGTCGAAAAGGTAAATGAGATGATGAGTGAAATGATGAGTGAGATGATGAGGATAGTGTTTGTGTCTCAGGTCGAATAATTACGAAATTTTAAATCGAGATAAAATAAATGTGAAACACTGTTCGAGTGGTTTGAAATTATCAGCTCAAGAAAAAGAAATAAAAGCAACGCAGGCCTCAGGCAGACAAAGGTAAAATGAGGCAGACAGATCAATCAAATCAGAGCAGGACTATCAGAGACTGGAAATGGGTAAAAAAGAGCAGGAGAAAACAGAATCCAAACAGAATTCAAACAGAACACAAACAGAACACAAACAGAAACAGCTGGAGACGCTGGAAAAACAGCAGCACCGTCGGGATGGTGTGTGCTGGCATCCATGCGCCAGCAGCAGAAAAACAGCAGTTAATGAGGATGGGAAAGGATCGCTCGATGCAAAAACGCAGAATTATGAGCTTATCCCGACGCGACGCGGCTTCTTGCGCAGTGGGCTGGAAGGAGAGTGTAAGAAGAAGCACGGGCAGCAGAGGCAACGGGATGGTTTCTGTCGCGCAGGGTCAAGTGACCGGTCAGCACGTAGACCCCCGCCAGACGCATGCCAATTAGTCAGCTTATGCGCAGTGCTATGCACAAGCAAGAAGATCAGCTGCGTGATGCGCGCGCGTGTCTCACGCGCGTTGCTGAATGTCTCAGAAAGGTCTCAAAATGCGTTTAGCTGGCAAACTCTCTCACCGGAACACGCGCGCGTCCGTAACAAAGAGCGCACCAAACGGACGGGGTTCATGTGCGTGAGCTTTCGTAAGCAGCAGAACGCAGAAGCCCACACGCGTGGTAGCAGTGGTGAAGGAGAGGAAGGTGAGGAAGAAGGTGAAGGTGTAGAAGAACCTTCAACGGCTACTTACTATCCTCTGCCACTGCTCGACCCAGCAGAAGCCCAGTGTATGAAGGCCATTGGCAGCGGTGTTCAAGAGCTTTAAGCTTTGTCTGAACTGCCCATTTTGTTTCAAATTGCTTCTGCAATAGTGCAAAGCTCTAGCCGAAAAGAGCACTCACTACTCATACCAAATGCTTATTACTGATCAAAGGTTAATGATCCAACAGCACTACTTCTGATATTGCCTTTAGACTCGAGTCCTGCTCTCGATGGTTCTCAATGCTCTCAATCACCATCTCTCTCATTCTCTTCTCCATCAGCTCCCTTTGCCTCGAAATCCTTCGCTGGTTTTCCGCTGTGCTTTTTGCTATTTCTTTTCTATTTTTTTTGGTCACTTTCCAGAAATTGTAATAAAACTTAAACTATTTGTAATTTATGATTAAAACTTTCTTCATTTTTTAGCAAAATATTATCACAATATTACCATAATTTTATCAAAAATACCCAAAGTCTATCACCTTTTAACATTGTTTAGCATCTTACAGCATTTTTTAGCACTCTTGCACAGCTTATTCAGCTAGTTCAGCTTATTAAACTTGTTCAATCAGTGCAAGTCGAGGCAGTTTTTGACCAACTCTCGTCAACTTTGTTGCTCTATTCTCTTGCAATGGGTGCTTTTGTCCTTCTTTTTGCTCAAAATTCATTGAAGCAAAATCTTATTTTGATTCAACTGATGAAAAAATAAAACGAAATTGTATGAAAATAAAACGAAAGTAAAACTAAAACAAAACTGAATGAAAACTAAACAGAACGAAAATTTTATTCATTTTCCAATATCTAAAAACAACTAAAAACAGCTAAAAACAACTAAAAACAACATAAAAATAATAAAACAAAACAAACAAAATAAAACAAAACAAAACTCTTTTTTTCTGAAACTCATTTAAAATTGTTTTCAATCGCTTTCAATCGTTTTCAATCACCAATTTAATACCAAAATAGTTAAATGATCAAATAATCCAATAATCAAAATATTTAAACAATTAAAAAATATTTCATATCTCTTTTAATTCTAATTTCCATTTTTCTTTTCTATTAATTCTTAATTCTTAATTCCTAATTTTTTTATTTTTTTATTCATTTACTTCTCTTCACTTATTTTTTATTTATCTATTTATCTATTTATCTATTTATCTATTTATCTATTTATCTATTTATTTATCTATCTATTTCTATTTCTATTTCTATTTCTATTTCTATTTCCATTTTCTTTTCTTTTCTTCTCTTCTTTTCTTTTCTTTTCTTGTCTTCGATCCTATTTATCAATCTTATTTCTTCATTTCATTTCACTTCAATTCACCAGCTTCGTTTATTTATATTTACTTTTACATTCACCTTTTTCAATTTCTTATTTATATTTACAATTATCCAATATCACTTTAATATTATTTAATATCATTTCCCAACAGTACCAACACTTCCAACACTTCCAACACTTTCAATATCTCTTCCCTTTTCTGATAATATCATTTCCCAATAACAAGCCTAATTTTGACTTTGTCTGCAACTTTGACTTAGTTCTCTTCAAATTTTCCATTATCTGTCCTACACTTTCTTTTTACATCACTCCATTTTATATATCTGCCTATTTTTCTCTCACTTCTCCCATTCTAACTCGTTTTTCTTTCCATTTCTTGCTCTGATTCTCCACCATCCTCTGTTTTCTCTTTCAATTCAATTTTTTCCATTCATTTATTCTCTTATTTATTCCTTTATTTATTCACTAAAATTCTACTAAAATTTCATTTAAAATTTACCTTAAATTTACCAAAATTTTACCTAAATTTTACCTGAAAATTCACCCAAAAAAGTTCACCCAAAACTTCACCTAAAAATTCACTTAAAATTCACTAAAAATTCACGTCCTTCTCTCAACATCAACAACACCAAATTTTTTCTATATTTATAAATATTTATTTATTTATTTATCTATTTATTTATTTACCTATTTACCTATTTACCCATTTATCTATTTATTACACCTAATAAAAACAACAACACCATCCATTCACCTCTCACCATTCACCTCTCCTACCACAATGCAACAGGTTAATCAGGACCTCTTTCTCTCAAGATCAACAAAAAGAAAAAGATCTCAGAAAAATTCTCCAATTCCCATCGAAAAACATGTCCTCAGAAGAAGTGTTGCTCTCTTGAACATATCCTCCCACTCCAATGCCTCTAACAATAACACAACTCACGACGACTACGACGAAGACGACCACCAATCCATCCATAACCTCATCAACAACTCCCCAACCCTCGTCTCCAAACTAAACAACAAAATCCTTCTCAACAACAACAAAAACATCTCCTCAAGCCCACCCAAATCCTTCTTGCCTCCCTTCAACGACTCACATCTCAACAACTACGAAAAAAATCCTTCCATAATAAAAAGCAAAACCTTTCATTCTATATCCTCCTTCAACAACAACAACAACAACAACAACAACAACTCCTTCTTTTATACTCACGACAACACTGAAAACTACGACCTATTCAACTCCATCAACGACTTCAACTACAACCACTCAATCTCCCCTTCAACCTCTCCCTCAAAGCCTGCAAAACTGAAGCTTAAATCCAACAACAACAACAACGATCTCTTTATTCATGGAAAATCCTCAAGCCTAAGCATTAGCTCCTCTTCCAGCGCCGACACATCTTCCTTGTTCGAATCAAACTACTCTCACTCTCTATCTCCAAGCTTTTCCTCCCTTTCCTCCTTCACATCCATCGACAGCTCAAATTCAAATCTTTCTGCCTCCAATCTCAAAAAAATCTCTCCTCCTTCCAACAAAAACAAAAACGACTTTTGCACTCCTCCTAACTCGTTCAAAACTGCAAAACCTTTGCAGTCTGCCTTTCAATCCTCGGGTCTACTCTCAAAACGAAAAATTAACAACAATAACAACAACAATCACAACTATTTCTTTTCAAAAAACCCAAACTATTCAAACTCTTCTCTACGTCTGTTCGACTACAACTCAAGATTCAACAAAAACACCTCTTTCACCTACTCTGTCCCTGATACTCCATGCAAAAAAAACCCATTTGCAAGAAACAAAAGCGAAAGCAACGTCAACAAACACATTAACCGTAAGAAATCAAAACTATCAAAGTTCTTCAACTCCGACAACATTTCCTTTAACGATGACATTCAAAAACAATTCGATCATACTTCCTCTCCAACTTTGAACCTATTCAACAACACCATCAATAACATCAATAATAATCTCACCACAACCACCACCACTACTAATAAAACAGGCAACTCAACTCCCCCTATTTTCAAATTCTCTTTCAACTCAAAATCAAAACTATCACCTTCCCTGGATTTAAGTACCAAAAATAGAAATTTTGACGTAAACAATAGCATTTACTCATTGAACAGTAGCTTGAACCAATTTACAAACGAATTTCAAGACGACGATTTAAATTTCTTTCACGAAAATGATGAACTGTCAAATAACATCTCCTCTGATGATGATTTCATAAACGATTTCAGTAACAACGTTGATAGTTTCATTGACGGTTTTACCGAAAGTGAATCAGACTTTTCCATTGACGAAGAATTTGACTACGATATCAACATGAACCACATTGTTAAAACTCCAACCAAATTTCCAAGGTCTCAAACGCTAATATTCAATAAATTAAATTTATCTACAAATTTAAACTCTGATCCTAATTCAGTTCCTAATCCAAATCCAAATTCAAATTCAGACTCAAACTTACCTACATATCACTCCAACAATAACAAATCCTCTATAGAATCACTCCTTCAAAAGAGAACCTTTTCAGAAACATCAACAATAAACAAATCCTCTTCATTTAATCTATCCCAGTTTAATCAAAACAACCAACAGTCCGGAATGGTTAGAGACTTCTCATCTGCCAGTATAGCCACTCAGAGATTCGAAGCCGACGAGTTTCTCATATCTAAATTTTCTAATATTAAACTAATTGGACATGGTGAATTTTCAAATGTTTATGAAGTGGAGTTTCAAAAAAAAAAATACGCGATAAAAAAAATCACAAAAAAACTAAACTACTATAATGATAAAGAGAAAATCATAGACACGTCGGAGAACAGCGATAGCATATCTACGTATTTGAATATAAGCTCAAAAGAAAAGTACTGCATTAACGAAGAAATTGAAATTTTAAATCAAGTTAAAAAGAAAAAAAACCTAATTCCTGGCAGTGAAAATATTATTAACTATATTGATTTTTTCAGTACAAATGTCCACAATCAAACAGAGGATTACATCATCACCGATTTTTACGATAACGGATCATTAGATAAATTTTTAATTTCAAATGGATCAAGAGACGGTTTGGAAGAGTTTCGGATTTGGAAAATATTCATCGAGTTGACAATGGGGTTATACTATTTGCATTCAAATGATATAATTCATCTAGACTTGAAACCTGCAAACATATTCATATCGATTACTGGGAAATTGAAAATTGGAGATTTTGGTCTATCCACCAAATTACCATTAAAGAATTTTAAATATTGTGAAAGAGAAGGGGACCGAGAATATATTGCACCCGAAATTCTATTGAGATCCGAATATAGCAAAGCAGCAGATATCTTTTCATTGGGATTGATTATATTTGAAATTGCAGCTAATATCTATTTGCCAGATAATGGTCCAAGTTGGCAAAAGTTGCGATCTGGCGATTTATCAGATGTGGGTAAATTGGGTATCATTGATGAAGTAAATCAAAGAGAAAATGAGAATAAACTGAGTTATATCTGTCACAAGAATATTGAAAACGATGGCAGTTATGAAGAAGAAACGAATAGTGACAATAATGGTGACTTTGCCTATTCTATCAATGAAAATGACAAGTACTTTCCTACGTTTGTTAAAGATGGAAAAACGTTAGACTTGCTAGTTCATTGGATGATTGAGCCCAATTCAAGTAATCGACCTAGCTGTAAAGAGTTGATCAGGCTTTATGAGTTCCAAATGGTTGAGGCCAGAAGAAAATATGATGCGACAGTTTATGAAGGAGAATATGGGCCATTAGCTTGTGAAAAGGATTTGAGTTCATTAGAGGGAAAATTCCCAAAAATTAGTGATTGTTATGAAATTGAAAAATTTAAAAAATAATAATACAAAAAAAAAAAAAAGAAAAAAAAATGGTAGATAGTGGTTTTTTTGTTTAAATATTCATTTAAGTTAGAATTAAAATTTTTTTTAATAATAATTATAGCTTAAGTTGCTTATGTGTTTGAGATATTGATTTGATTTACTGAATTTTGTTATTAATTTTTTATTTTTATTATTTTTATTTTTATTTTTATTTTTAATTTTAATTTTAATTTTAATTTTTTTATGTCTTTATGTTTTTAAATTTTTGTTTTTTATTCTTTAATAATTGTTTGATTCTTTTCAGTTCTGCTAGCAGTTAAAATTGTTAAATTCTTGAGATTTTTTATTTGGTTGATTTCATTCATTTTTTGTGATATTATTATTATTATTATTATTATTATTATTATTATTATTATTATTATTATTATTATTATTATTATTATTATTATACTATATAGAATTATAAATTGGTAGTTGTCTATCATATATTCACTTGATCATTTTGTCATTTAATATAATGTTTAATATTTTTGTTTAAATTGGCAGGTAAAGTTGTAGTTGATCTTTCAGCTGTTTGACGTATCTCTCCCTGATGCCTGTGCTGCATCTGGGGAACAAGTCCCAAAAAAGAAGGCCAACGAAGCTACACCAGTGTTTTCTTTATTCTGTTCTTTATCTACTGACTGTCCATTACCCATTATCCAAGCCCAGAGCCAGTAAAATACAGTTTTGTGCCAGTGTTTTCAGGCTTGAAGTTTGAAAAGTTGCAACGCCTGGAGGAAGTGCTCTAAATCCCACAACCAAGTTAACACCAACAAAGGCTATTTCTTGCCCAGTGGCACAAGTCGCCTCTGACTGTTTAAATAATGAAGAGCAGCTTTGGTTGTGGTCTTTGGAAGGTTTTTGAATGTCTTTTGAAGGTAGTTGGTTGTTTTTTGGAGGTTGCTGGCGAGAAAGAGTGGGTGCTTAAGGCTGGACGAGAACTGTTCTCCATGGATGATAGTTGATGCTCCAGCTACTGGATGTGCTTGAAGAAGGTGTTAAAGGTGCTGAATGTGCTGACTTTTCTGCCCGATTTCTCTCGCTGGCAAAGTTGGTCATGTCAGCAATAACTTGTCCTTCAAAGCAACAGTTGACATTCAAAGCTAAATCTATTGATGCTTAACGTTGGCGACCTTTTGCAAAAATTAGATGTTTTTTTGGCTCCTCTTAGCTGTTTGACCATTCTAAAATCTCAAGTGTTTCAAATTGTGATGAATTAGTCGACTTGAGCAACTGGCATAGAATTTTGGTAATAATTACACTCCAAATAGCTGTTTACACCAACTCAATTCTGTCTATCCCAAAATTTCAATTGATTTTTTGTGATTGGGGTCTTTTTTCTTTGAGGTGAGTTGCAAGTATGATTTGCTGGTATGATTTGATTATTGTTTGGGTTATTTGGGCCTCTCCATTATCTTTCACTGTTAATACAGGATGAATATCTGGTAAATCTAGTAAATCTAGCAGATCCAGTAAATCCTATCAATCCAATCCAACTCAATTCACCACTGCTTAATCTGATTGTGAACTGAAAATTCCATACACTCAGCTATTTGTATCGATAATTTAGACTAATTGAGAAAGATTCAAATCTCCTTTAAATCATTATTCAGCAATTACATTTTTCTCAAATTATCATGAAATTATTCTGAAATTATTAAAAAACTATTATAAAACAATTAAACCATTATTTATTACTTGTATCAACCCACATGTTGAAGAAAAATGGATATTAAATGAAACAACAGAAAACAAAAATCAAAATAAAAGAATTTAAAATAATAATAAATAAATAAAAATCACACTGAGAAAACTAATCAACAAAATACTAGACAATCAATTAATCAATCAATCAATAACAAAAAAAAACAATGAAATATTAAGTCTTAAAAACTCACAATTGAAATAAAACACAAAATAAAATAAAATAAAATAAAATAAAATAAAATAAAATAAAATAAATTTAAAAATAAAAATACAGTCTCTTTAACAATTAACTCTCCAAAAAAAAAATGAAAAAAAAAAATTAATATCCTTTTTCACATCTCCATGGAATAATGTTCACCTAAACAATTATGGACTATCGAAGCCCCTGTTCTAGTTCTCAATGGATATCCCTCAATCAGCGTTTGAATCGATTCGCTTGACTCAACATTGCTATTTGGTACAATAATAAAGGTGAACGATTCTAACGACCATTCATACCAAACTTTACTGATATCACAATCCCTTTTCATTAACAATTCGACTTCAGAATCGTCAGTCAAATAGATGGGATTTTCAATTGGAAAGAAAATTGGAAACCATGAATTCAAATACTCTGTCGACTCATTCAAAACTGTAGAGATCGTTATATCTTTGTATAATTTCGCTTTAAAAAATCCAGCAAATCCATGAAGAACACCTCTCTTATGTATTTCAAATGTTAAAATTTCGGTTCTCTTATTATGCTCATTGAAATTCTCATCAATTAAATATCTATTATTATCATTATAATTGTTATTATCGTTGTTATCGCTACCACAATTATGTTTATACTTAGTATCAAAAATAAAATCTTGATAATATGGAAAATTTTTCTTATTTTGATGATTGAAAGTCCATATCTTTAATGGTTTTGCTGATAAATATTCAACGCTGGTTAAATAAGTTGCATACAACTTTTGAAATACTGATGAATCATTCTTTTCCTTCAAGGTTTGGTATAAAATCGGAGAAGAAATTGGTATAACATAAGATGAATAATCTTGGGGTATTACTATTCCTGTATCTTTTACCAAATAATTATTGATAATATTATCCAAGCATTCCGGTGACAATTCATTGCACCCAAACCCTCCCAATAACTCTGATACAACTAAATTGAATTTAAAATTCGAATTTAAATTTGACATTGATGGTTTCCAATATCTCGTATCATAATTTATGAAAAATAATTTGTTCATTGTATCACTTTCCTTTAAAGCCTTCTCATTCTTATTAGTATAATTATGGTTATGACTATAATTATGGTCATTATCATAATCATTATAATAAATAAATGAATCGTTTTTGTCCAAGAGAATCTTTTTTTTCAAATATATTAAAGAGTATAAGTTTTTTTCAATGATGTATATTTTAAAATTCTCAATATTTAAGGATTTTAAATTTTTCAATATTTTATCGAGTAATGGACCTCTGCCTGATCCTAATAATCCGATGTTTAGACAATTTTCAGAATCAGTATTACACCTTTTTTTTTTGTTCTTTATTGAAGAATTTTGGTATTTGAAATCGTTCTGAATGATTAAGTCGTTTATAGCTTTTTTAATTGCTGATTCATATAAAGCATATTTAGTTATATCAGACTCAAAAGTTTGATATACTTGATTATTCAAATCATCTCTTAAAGGTTGCAAAGGATTTAACAAATAGTTGGACATTGAATGAAAGTTTGAATAATTCAAATTTGGTATTACATTTTTTTTAATTAAAAAATTTAAATAATTTAGATAAGCAGTTGAAATTCCACATTTAGGTAGATTTTCAATGTTATGTAAAATTACTGAGGGAATAAGTTTATGATTGATTGTTATTAATAAGATTGACAAAAATTTTTGGATTGATTTACTCAATACAGGGAATTGTTTATTATTAGTTAAGAAGATATTTGAATTGATTAAAAAAAAGGAAACGGGTTCGATTTTCCATTTGTTTATTAGCAAAGAAAAAGAATTTGAATTTAAATATTTAGGTAGGGATAAAGATATAAATAAGTTTCTATTATAATTACAATTTGATCTAATTGAGTTCCAAATTTCCCAAGATTGATAAATATCAGAAGAATAATCTATATCATTTTCATTTTCATTTTCATTTTCATTTTCATTTTTGTTTTTGTTTTTGTTTTTGTTTTTTGGAATATTTTTATTTGTTGATATTATTAAAGGCAAAGAAATTGATATTTTAAGATTTTTTGGTTTATATTTAATCAATAATTTATTTAGAATATTTGAGAAATTTAACAAGTTTTTAATATTTGAAGGAGGAGTTATTATGATGTGGGTCAAGTTATTGAAAAGACAATAATTGATTTCGTTGATTAGTATTCTATAGGAAAAGTTTGAGATTATGTTACTTAAGGAATCAAATTGCAACCAAGAAGATATTATAGGAATGATTTTTGAATTGAAGTTATAAATTAAATTTGAGGTGAAAAAAAATTGTTTATTAAAATTAATAGAGTCTTTTAAATCAAGTTGCGATAAAGGTTGATGATTATATTGATTATAATCAAAGGATTTATAAGATTTGAATATATCTTTAAGATAATTTTTATATGAAATGCTGGTTATAGGCAACAAGATGAAATCATAGTTGTCTTGAATTAAATAATTTGAATAAATCAAAGATTCAGATTTGGAAGATAAAGAGATCAAAGACTGCGTTGAAGGCTTCACACCTATTTTAAACAAGCTTTCATTATTGTCGCTGTTATTTATAAGGGTTACTATGCTGTTATTTTGAACCGAAGAGACATTATCGTGGTCGTTTTTATTACTTTTATTGCAATTATTATTTATTGAAAGATATTTAACCAATGTGGCTTTGAAGTCTAGCGAGGAAGTGTTTGTTGAAGTTGAGGAGTTTGAAAAATTTGACAATGGGGAGATATTTCTTGAGTTAGGCCCCTTGTTTTTAGTTGGGATATTACTGGTATTAGTATTGGCATTTGTAGTAACATTAATATTGATATTATTGGTGTTGCTGTCAACGATGCAGTTTGACATTGTCAAAGATGGTGATTGGTTTTGAATTAAATCAAATGAAACTAGTAGTGATTATTTTGAAGGAAGAGACTTTTGCATAAGTGTAACAAATAAAAGGATTTATATATATAGGTTTGCATATAAAAATTCATAATTAAAAGTTTACTAATTAGGCAAAAATCAAATACCAAACCTTTAACAACTCTGCGAGTTGGTTGGTATTGCCGGTAGGTAGTATGTTATTGAAGTGCTGTGAATGGTATTTGAACGATGAAAGTTGACTCTTGCTTTGCTAGAAGATCAATTGGGGTAATGGAGATCACAACAGAGGAAAGCAATGTGCAAGAGCAGCAGGGAAAGCAGATAAGAATCAGCCTTTGAGAGAGAGAGAAGCGATAGACAGCAGAATGCTACTCCTTTAACAGAGCAATCCTCACACTTAGGTCCAAGATCTATTATATCGTCTCCTGTTTACGTTTGGCTGTTTTGGGAATGCCTGGAAGGTGTGTTTACGTTGAGCCGGATCCGGAAGGAGCCACGCCGAAGGGACGCACCCACAAGAATGAATTAAACCCGCATGTGTGGACTAAACAGATTGTTATGTAATAGCTTCATAAAAACACTGCACTATGCAGAATATCAAATGAAAAATCTAACCACAGATGTGGAACTTAATGACTAAGCTTGGGGGCAGATGCACCGAAGCTTACGCAACATTCAGGGCAGCCCCTATACTTGCATTTTGGACGGATTTGAGATGAAGCTCAGAAAATAAATAAAAAGGAAAAAATATAATAATCCAGCAAGAGAACAAATATATTCAATTCTCCAGCAAACTTGTCTTTTTAATTTCTATATTTTGTTCTTGTTGCCCACATCGCCTCTGCTCACCACAGCTATCAATTTCTTTTCAGCGCTGAAATGGAAGAAGAGAGAACCCAATTGTCTTCCACCATACTTGTTTCCAAAGATCCCAGTGAATCAATCAACATCTTAAATTCCAGAATCTTAGAATCAAAGGCTCTTAACAATGAAATTGGTTCCTTTTTGTTTGACTACATTGCACTAAACCAACACTATGCTAGTCGCTTAATGAAGTTAATGGAATCGAAGGGAAAAAATATAAATTCAAATGTTCATAAATATATCATCAAGGAATCTGCGGTGAATCCTCAATTCAAGGGGAACTTGTTTCTCAAAGACAAAAACCTCAACGACAAAAATCCTAATAACAGTGAAAATAATGAAAATGGCAGTGAATATGAGAATGAAAATGAAAATAAAAATGATGACAATAATAATAATTCTAATTTGCCTGATCATTTGGGTAATTTTAAATCTATTTGGGACTCCATCTTATATGAAATTAACTCTGAAATCGATTCAAATAAAAATCTAATTAAAAACTTAAATAGAATTATAATAAAACCTTTAAAAAATTCATTCAATCCAACTAAAAATAATTATTACCACGATATATTATCTCAATTAAATAAAATAAAACATAATTCAGTAACTCGCAATGATTTGAACTATTTCAATGAAAATTCTCTTATTTTTTTTGAAAATTTTGAAAAATTCGAATATAACAGATTAATCTTTTTAAAAGATTTACTTTTGCAACTTCAATCCAATTTAAATGATAAATATACTCTGAATTTGAAAAATAATGAAAAGATTTTTGAAAATTTAGTATCCTTTAACCCTGACGATGAAATTAAAAGATTTTCTTTAAATCCAATTGGTGAACAAAATGATTCTAAAAATGATATTATACCAAACATTAATAACCAATCTGATAGTCCAATCAACACTACTACCAATAATAACAATAATAACAATAATATTTTTAATAACAATGTCAACAACAGTACTAATGACATTAATAAAGAACATCCTCATAGAAAGTTGCATTCTTTAATACATCATTCTTCAAACAATTATAATACATCACCAATTGCAAATACAACTCCAAATTCAAACCCAATGACATCCTCCTCTTTTGAAAGATCTTCAAATGATAACCACATTTTAATTACAAATTCTCCATCAAAGGATAAAAAACACAAATTAAGATCCAGAGTTGGCTCTATCTTTAATAGATCAAAATCAAAGAAATTCATAAATAACAATCAAAACAATAATTTTTCAACTCAAGCAAAATCAAAGTTCTCTTCTGATTTCGAGCCTTTACCTGAGGTTCAATCTACTCACTCTTCAGCAATTGTCCTATCCAAAAGGGTAAATAACAATACTAATAATACTAATGGCAACAACAACATTGATGCTTATGATAACCTAAAAGAAGTTTCAAAATCAAGTCTTGATCTCCCCGAATCTAAAGTCCCAAGTTCAAATCCAGCTCTTAACACTAATAAAGAAAATAACAAAAGTATTACCCCTGCTCTAATTCCATCAAAACCAAAATTAAATGACAGAAATTTCAGTTTTAGTTCAAGTCCATCTTCTCCAGATGATGATTTTGCAACTTCATCAATACCTTTGCCATTTCATCCATCTCAACCTCCACCTCCACCTCCACCTCAATCTCAATCTCAATCTCAATCTCAATCGAGCCAACCTTTGGTTTCTAAAAATTCAAACTCTGATTTACCTGATCCTAGAAACTCAAAACCTTTTCAATCTTTAACAGATTCTTCTCTTGCCCGCCCTTCATCATCAAATTATCCTTCCAGTATTGATGAAAATTTAAAATCGGCAAGTTCAGTAACACTACCAAATAAGAATAATACCAGAAACGATAAAAACAATAGTTCAGAGAGCGATATTTTCAATGATACCAATAAGACCTCTGGCCCTCCTTTGATTCAAGTTCAAGTTCAGCCTCCACCACCTCCACCTGTAAGGAGATCTTATTTACATAGCGAAAGTGGAAATCAAAGTATAAACCAAAGTTCAAATTCAAATTCAACTCCATCTTCTCCCGTAAACAATCCAGTTTCAAGTAGAAACATCGTGACTGAGAGTGATAACGTAAATGGTAATGACAAACATAATGACAATGACGATTTACCTACAGATTTACCAAAATTAACTCCCAAAGTTCCATCAACTCGCAGAAAAGATATTGTCTCAAAATTATTCACAAACTTGACCGAAGCCGATCTTGATACTCAAGGCAAATCTTCTTTTGACACCAGCAGTATCAATAATGCTAAAAGTCTCAGTACACCTCAATCTCAAAAATTAACTACAAGGTCGAGCAACACTTTTGGTTCCTTAACCCCAAATAGGAAGTACTTTGATAACAATGATTCAATTTCATTGGTGTCTCAGCAGAGAACAGATTCTCGTGCAACGAGTTTAAAGGCTGATTTGACTGGAAATTTATTGAATAACGGTTTTACTCATCCAGATTTAAGTGTCCCAGGGCTAAACGCCAGTATTTTAGAAGTCTTTTCTGCGACTTTCAAAAATGGAGTCTTAGAATCCTCCAAGACAATTGGCCAAATTGCGTTCACTTATATAAGAGAGCCTTTAAATCAATTACCAAGTAATTCTTTATTGAAATTAAAGTTGGATCCTAAAATCCAGAAAATTGTTCCCAATGCAGTATTTTTAAGACCAATAAATACTTCCAACAACCTGCAAGATGATGATAGCAACCATAATTATCTCTATAATTTGAATACTTTGCAAGTTTCTTCAAGAATCGTCGGAGGCTTAAAATACATGTTATTAAATCAGGAATCTCCAATCATTTTAACACCAATTTGGAGATTTGAAAGTCATCAAGCTAGTTGTATGCTAACAATAAAATTAAGCCATAAGATTGTTTCAAAACTAGATGATACTACCTCTATTATTTTGAATGATTTTGGTGTTTCTTTGTCAATAGAGGGTACGGAAACAACATCTGCTTTTTCAAAGCCTCAAGGGTCATTCAATAAAGATAAAAAGAGAATTACCTGGAAATACAAGGAACCTTTGACACTAAGCAGAACACATCAACAAGAAAGAATTATCGCAAGGTTTATGACTGAAGGAATGGCCAGAGAATCTTCTTCTGGCTGCCAAGCCAAGTTCTTGATAGATAGTAATGAAAGCACTTCCTTATGTTGTGCTGATAACAACCTTTTCTATCAAAATATTGATGATGATATATTTGGACAAAACAGTGACAACGATCCAGAAACTTGGAAAGTTGTTAATACTGCTAAAACATTTATTTCCGGCAGTTTTATTTTTGGTTAATTTTTTTTTTTTTTATCAAATTAATTTAGCTTTTAAAGATAATTTTTAATTTTTTCCTTGTCTTGAATTTTCTTCTTTTTGTTCTTCTCTTCATATCCAGCTCTTTTTCAGCTCTTTTTTAGTTTTTTCATTAGTATTTTTCTGTTCTTTTAGATATTATTTACAAAAAAAAAAGTAAAAGTTTTAAAAAAAAATTATAAAAATATATTACAAAACAAAAACTTGATATTTTTTCTATTCTAAATAATCTGTGTATTTTTTTATTTTCTCTTTTATTTATTGTTAGTTTAGTTTTATAATTATATAAACTACAGTCGTACCAATAATGGATAATAATCCACAAGGATAGATAGTTATGTTTATTGAGATAAATTACGTGTATAATACAAAAATTTAGAACTGATTACTATTTTCCAATTGCAAGATGATAAAGATGATTTAAATTGAACTTATTTCAATTAAGGTATCTATAAATTGTACTTTGAGTAGACAGTAGAAAAATGGAGTCATTATTTATCAACACACTTTTTATTATCAAAAATATTACGTATTTATTCTATCAATTCCTTTGATTTCTTTGATTTCTTTGATTTTGATTTCGACTTGGTTTTTGATTTTTTGATTTTTTCAGAGTTTTCAGAGTTTTCAGAGTTTTCCAAGTCTGGTTTATCAGATTTCTCTTTTTCTTTCGAATCTTCTGACTGACCTATTTCTAGAGATTTAATTAGCTTTTGTGTTTTTTTTGACGCCCGAAGTTCTTTATCTTTATCTTTATCTTTGTTTTTTATTTTTTTATTTTTTTTAGTTTTTTTGTTTGAGTTCTTATCATTTGAAAGTGGTCCGGATATTTTGGCAATCTCTTCTTTTTCATCAACTTTAGTATCAACACTTTTGCTTTCAGATTCAATATTTATATTAATTTCAGCATGATCAACAGTTATATTAGAATCAGATATATTATAATCAATTTTTTTTTGAATTTGATTGTAATCGATTGGCTCACTGAGATCAACCTTAAAAATTGTTAAGTTAGAGTATTTTTTATTTCGAATATCTTTGTTATTTATATTCTCAATATTCACATTATTTGAGATTTCGATATGAGATTCCTTTTTTAAATCGGTTTTATTGTCATTTGTTATTTGATCTTGATAATTATGTTCAACTTCCATTTCTTCTGTACTGTCATTAAGATTCTTATTATTGTTGTTGTTATTAAAGAGTTCCAAACCTTTTATTAATATAGTTTCATCGCTTATAATGGGTAGAAGTTGATTGATTTTCATCATTATTTGGTAATTGGGGGGCTTTTCTTTTTCCAATTCAAATTTGGTTTTTTGCTTTTTTTTCCTCTTCTCTTTTTTGCTGTTTTTATCTTGATCTTTATTGTTATCATTGTCATTATCATTGTCATTATCTTTTTCATTATCTTTTTCATTATTTTTTTCATTTTTTTCATTGTTTTGTGTTTTTATCGTCTTATGGTTCAGCACAGTATCTTTTTTAAGTATTTTTTTGTTTTCAGATTCTAGGACACCCAATTGATTATCAACGTTATCAATGATTTTATTCCAAGTATCTATCTTTGATTTAAATTCGTTTAAAATTCTAATTTTTGAACCACCTTGTAAGTCTTTAATATAATTGAATAAAAAGGGGTCGAAATTAGTCATTGGAATTTGATTCTCATTAAGAATATTTTTGATTATCCAATTTTGTTTGGATTTAGAAAATTTCCAGTTTTCTTTGTCGTTTGTGAACGATCTTAAATATATTAGTTGATCTTTCACTGGAGGTGTATCTCTTTCATTTTTTGGTTTTTTTGGTTTTTTTGGTATTTTCCTCGGGGTTCCCATGGGGGAATCATCATTTATACTATTTATCTTTCTCTTTTTGCTGTTATTTTTGCAATCCAAATCTATAGCACCAATGCTGTTGTTGGAGTTGGTATCGTTGAGAGAAAAGGCTTTGGTGGTGAAGGTCGATGTTGGTAGAGAAAGAGGGTCTTCAGCGAGCTGAGACCTGATTTTTAAACCAGATCTCTTCCAGGCAGGTATATGTGTAACCATTGAAGCAGATATATCAAGCAAAAACACTACTGAAGCGTTTTGTAGGCAGGAGAGCTAAAGACAAGTTGGTGAAGAGCATTTCTTTCGGGAGCTGAAGAGAAACTTTTGGCTGTTTTGAAAAATTTAAAAAAAAATTATTAGAGCCCTGACCAAGGTCGGGCAACCTCCAAAGAGCACCAAAAGCAGCAAATTTTACTTCTTCTTTCTGAGCTTCTTCTGTTTCTTTCTTCAAATGCGACTGGGAAGTGGTCCTACGGCACATCAGTAGTGGAACTAGCTGGTGTGTTGTGTTTCCTGGGTGCTACAGCGAGAAATCACTTAGTTTGAGTCTGTTATAAGCAGTTGATTTATAATTGATATAGGAAATAGTGAACATTTGGTCTGTTATGAGACACGAATTATAATACAAAAGATAATGTGATAGTATAGTGAGAGCATGAGAGCAGAATAGAATGAAATAAAAACAAACAATATGGGTGGATAATAGTATAGTAGAATAAGATTGTATATACGCTATATCGTTCTCAATTTGGGAAAATCAATGAAGCACCACAATTATCGCAAGTCATTGAAGTACATGAGTTCAATTTATAACCACAGTTATCGCAGGTTGATACTTGATATACATTGTTCAATCCCATTTTGCAGAATTTGAAATCCGATATATGATATGGTATGGTATGGAAATATGTGAGTATATGTGTAGAATTACTATACAAGCAGATGATGTAAGAATATATTATAGCAACAGTAGTATGGTGTAGCGAGGAAGAAAAAAGTAGAAGGAAAAAAAATAAAAATCAGTGAATGTTGATACCAATTTATATCATTTTGAAAGTGTTTAAGAATATTTAAGACGATTTAAGACTATTTCAAATCATTTAAGATTATTTAAGATTATTTGAATCTCCTCAAGTCTTTTATTATACATGGACTGCTGAATTTTGTAATCAATAAATTTTATTTGAAAATACTTTAATATTGTGTATTGCAAATTGAAATTGCTTTTAAATTAACAAAAAATAAAATTCTAATTTGATGAAAGTGGTATACTCGACTGAGCTATTAAATAGTTCTGAATTCCACAGGGGGGCGACCTCAGATTACAAGCAAAGTGCCCTGTTACAGAGTGAATTGTCCTGGAAAATGTACTGATATCAGGGGGCAGCCCGTAGAGAAACAAAAATAAAGTAAAAACAAAAGGATAAGTAAATTTGTAGAATGTATTAAAAATATATTAAAATTATTGAGATTACAAAAAGAAAGGTAACAAATAAATGAAACAAAATAAATCTGCAAAGGTCTGAGAGATATCTAAGAAATATCTGAGGAAAAGCTCCATACAATCACTGAATAGACCACCGGATCATTTAAATATATTGCGATAACCATCTAATACCTTCTCCATACCCTTGTCTCATAACGACAGAACACATAAATACTTCCACTGGTCTTCTTCCATCTAATGGAACGATTCCTTTGCCTGTTGTTCCAAATAATCCCAAGGCTTGTCTTAATTCATTTTCGCTGATGGCTCTAGGAGAATCAATCTTATTACCAAGAATTAAAAATGGGACCTTGGATAACTCCTCAATAGCAAACAATGCATCCAATTCTGCTTTACTTTCCTCAAGTCTTTCATAGTCTGCTGCATCAACTAAGAAAACTATTCCATCAACTTCTGGGAAATAATCCTTCCATAATCTTCTGGCTTGTTGATGGCCTCCCAAATCAAATGTAGTGAATTTGATATTCCCAATTGATAATTCTTCCGAAGTTGGGTGCAATGTAGGTTGTAATGTAGCTAATCTATCGTTCTTAAGCATGTGTAACAAGGTGGTTTTACCAGCGTTATCCAATCCTAAAAACAATAGTTTCCCATGTTTATTCCATAATCCTAAAGACGCTAAAATATCTTGGACTGTTATCGATTGCAAATTAAAAAAAGAATACAGGAGAAAAAAGTTGTTAGTTCTTGTGTTCTAAACACTGGGATAGAGACAAAAAAAAGGGAGGCACAAACCTCCCACCTTCCAAAAACACCACTTGCTACTTACACCAATTAAAAATCCACATTTCTGATCAATGAATTCAAATACCAAATAAATGCCTGCGACTAATCCTATCTAGTCTCTTCTATACCTGTGTGTTGTAAACTGACAAAAATTGCTGACAAAGTAGCAATATCTTTTGGGTTAACAAACCAAAACCAGAAAATTCTTTTTGCTGTTGTGTTTTCTGTTCTAAAATCCACTACTATGGGTCAGCAGAAAATACGTAAGATAGCGCTAGTGAAAGCGTATAAGTGCAGTTTCTGCATATTATGCGTTTTCCATTCCACTGGTTTTTACAACAGAATCTGTTTCTGTTGCAAAGAATATAATGTTTCTACTAAGATAAATGAATGTGTTAAAAAATGTAGTAATTAAACAATATTAGGTTGCTATTTGAACAAACCTGGTCCCATTTCGCCTGGACTATACCTATTAGAAAAAAAAGTAACCAAAACCAATCAAGTAAAAAAATACCAATAAACGAATAATTAATCAACCAATTAAACAAAAATAATTAAAAACCAGCCAAGTGTGAAAGAAAAAATCAGTAGAAAAAAATGCAAAAGAAAAAGAAAATACAAAAAATAAAAAATAAAAAATAAAATAAAAAAATATGCAAACTCAGTGCTGGAAAATCAAAGATTGGCCAATGCCCCACTGAACGCCAATGCCCATGTTCTACTCTGTCCATTATCCAAATATTTTGCACTATCAAATCCCTCTTGTGAAAAGAATTCGTAACTCTCTTGAGGATTAACCAATGCTTGATTCAATCTTAATATACCTGTCCACCCACTTTCAACACTGTCGATGATCCCGCCTAGTTTGCTATCCCATTCTTCCCCAACAAAATTTTCTTTACGTATTATACTGGAAATTGGTGTGATAGGCAACATATGAATTCCATGAATATACTCAGTATTAGTACCAAAATATGTTGTGTAATCAATTTTTTGATCAAACAAGATACCTGCAACTTTATTTTCAATAATCTTCGATGGCTGAACTGTATTTTCAGATGAATAAAGAAAATATAAATTAATACTTTTGCTCATTATTGACAATATCAAATTTCCTCTGTTTTCTAACGACCCATCTCCGGTTACTTTTCCCCATAATTTCATTCCATAATAGTAATGGTAATCCTCTGATGTACTTTCTTCGTTCTTACCTGACCCTGAACTATATAATCCAGATGCCCAAGAATGTCCTTGAAACCAGTCAAAACTCCTGGAAAATGGGAAATATTCGTCGTCCCTATTAGAATTAGAAACATCTCTGATTAACGAGTTGATGTAGTCTTTGTTGTCTGATACCCATGTACTGTTTTCTCCATAAACTTTGTAATCAACAAATCCAATTATAGCTGCAGCATGAATAATATATCCATAATGAAAATGGTGATCATTATAAAATGATGCTCCAAAATCAAATCCTGTTGAGTCTGCATAATTGTCCAATGCTCCTGATGATGTAATCCCACCAAATTTAGTATCATAAATTAATGCATATAATTGTTCATTTTTTAATATGATATCAAATGTTTCTTTCATTCTGATTAATGTAGACTCACTCATCTCTTGATCTTGAACGATACTTTCAATAACCAATAAGATATATGCATACTTATCAATGATTTTCCCAATGTAGTATGTGTTCAATCCGTTAAGCGCTCCAGAAATATCAACTGACAATTCTTCATTAATCACTTCTCCTAATAATTGAAGTTGCTTTTCAGTGTATTCAATTTCTCCCTTACTAGTTGAGTTAATTGGCAAGAAATTAATTCTTTTAACGTCTGTGATATCCTCATTCATTATCAATGAATTGCTTAAGAATCCATACATCTTTCCTTTAGTGGTTGAATCCAATGAAATACCAGTAGCAAATTGGGATGTTGAGCCTGATAAAGAAACTAAATGATGTGGTAACGCAAAAACCATAGTGCTTCCAGAAATGCTAGATCCCTCAGTAACATAGTTTATCGCATAAGTTGCAGAATTACAACTAGCTGATCCAGTGATATAAGCGCTGGTAGTATATATACCTGCTGCCTGATCATAGTATGTTTCTAAGCTAGAATCATCCGGCGAAACTGCAACTTGAATGAGTAGCCCATCAATAGCCAAATTACCCTCGATAACATAATTGTTTTCAACTTGCAACGAATATTCATCCATTGAATCTAAACTCGATTCAGGAAATGTAACATAAATTAACCAATCAACACCATCAAATAAACTAGCCTTGTATTTAAGTGTATCTGAATTTAAACTTGTTGAACTCTCCAATACTAATGTAGAAAAGCCAATTGATGACTTTAATCTTGTTATTAAGTTCCCATTATAAGTGCCCGAGATTAATCCCATCCCTTGAACTAACGGAATATCAATAAAATTATCTGATGTTTCGTCATTATCCAGAGAATCTTTAAATAAAGTAACTAAAACTGACATATCTTTCAAATCGGTAACATCCATTGAAACATTTTCATCAAAAACTGTGGCCGAAAATACCACTGATCCGATATTTGTTGGTGCAGTGTAATATGAAGCAGTGCTATCATTGTCTCCATTTGAAAATGTAATTTGAGATGATGTTGTTTGAGAAATAGCAAATCCATTGTGATAAGTAGCGAACCACATACCATATGGATACGTCCAAACCATATTGGATTGATCATCCAATAATAAATTAGTATAAAATTTATTGGTTTGAATTGGTAATCCATCGTTATCAACACCTTCCGCTAAATCTAAATCGGGTTCATCTCTAAGAAAAATCGATGGGGGAGCATTGTTTGATATAGGTTCAAATAAATCTCCAGTAAAACATGATTCAACATGTAAAGTACTTGTGACCACAATTTCTACTAATGATGAGGAAACAAGAGAGAATGATGACAATACATCTCCGCTTGAAACATATAGGAGTGATGACTCAATCGAAAACGATAATGATTCACTTGAAGAAACAGCTGAAGTACTTGATGAATCTGATGCAGTTATTGTGATAGTTTCATCATTTGAAATTGATATTTTTGTTGATTCTGTTTCCTTTGCCAATGAAGTATCTATAAGTTTGGTTGATAAGCTTGGAGTTGATTTGGAAACTTGGATACTTGTAGATGTATTGGAAAACGAGGAAAACCCCAAACCACTTGAGCCAGTTTGCTTAGAAGTTTGAACAGAAGATGTTGTGGTGTGAAGAACAGATGATAAATATGATGAAATTGGGATATAAGAGGTCAATGTAATGACATCACCAGATAAGGTTTCAATTTCAGTTAATGTAATAGTGACTGGAACAGAGATAGTCTTCGTATTAATCGATAAGGATAAAGAAGTTGAGGTTAAGAAGTCTGAATCTGTGATTAAAGGTTGAAATTTACTTGAATCGATTGTCACTGAACTATAGGTTAAACCCGTCTCAGAATAAATAGCTGAAGGAGTTGTGGAAGCTGAATACACGATGGAAGTTGAAGTAGTAGAAATATTTTCCAAAGAAATAATTGAAGCAATTGCACTAGTGGCAAGAATGGAGTTTGATTCGACAATAATAGAAGTTTGTTTATTGGTGGAAATTTCTTTGTTATCGGTGCTAGACTTTGTTAAGGATTTTGAGGAAATGATAGATGTAGTTAATGTTGTTGCTAAGCTAATTGTTCTAGAAACATCTAATATTTTTGAAGTAGTATTTTTAATGATTGGTGCACTTTGGGTATTTTGAATGCTTTCAGTGGTTTGAGTGCTTCGACTATTTCCAATGGTTTGAGAGGTTTGAGGGGTTTGGATGCTTTGAGTGTCTTGAATACTTTCAATGTCTTGAATACTTTCAGTGTCTTGGATACTTTCAGTGTTTTGAATGATTTCAGTTTTATGGGTGTCTTGGGTGTCTTGGGTGTCTTGAGTGCTTTCTGTTGTTTGAGTCGCTTGGGTGATTGTAACAGTGATAGATTTGGATGTTTTAGAATTATTTTCAGTGATAATGTTATTGTTATCATTTGTATTATTACTCAGTACATTGTCAGTGTTTCCAATAGTATTAGTATCATTAGTATTATTAGTATTATCACTACTATCATTATTATCACTATTAGCACTATTATCAATATTTTTATCAACAGTTTTAGTTTCTTCAGAAAGTGATGTCGACGATGAAGTTGATTGAGATTTGTTGTCATTAACGTCTTGAGAAGATTCGGTAATTCTTTCAGTAATAGTAGATAAGAGACGACATTCAAGTTCATACGAATCTGTGGAGATATCAGTTTGTAATTCGGTTATTGTATTTGTAAAAGTTTGAAGAGATTCGTCAGTTGAATATTGAGTTTTATATAAAGTTTTAATTTCCGTAATGTATTCAATTTTTGTTTCAGTAATTGTAGTTAAGCTTGTAAATTTCGTGAAATCGTTATTGGAATTGTTAGAATCGTAGTCAGAAGAGTGAGAGAAGATACCAGTTTGAGACCCAGCTAATGTTGTTGTTGTTGTTGAAGAAAAAGAAACTTGGAGATTCCTGTTTGGAATATCAGCAGAAGTGTATATTGAGCAGTCAGTTGAGTGTTTAGTTGTTGTAGATGAAGATAATGGAGATGATAAGGAAACATTGAACATAGTTGAACCATTTGGAAATAAAGTAAACAATTCATCAGAAGAGAATTGAGCTAATGTGATATTGATGAAGCTGATTAGTAGGATCAGCGTGATAAAAGATAGTTTCAGATAATTCATTGGTAATTATTCAATAGTTGTTAATTCTGATAGTTATGATAGTTATGAATCAAATATTTCAAAAAGTAAGACATAAAGAAAATTTGAATGCAATTTATATGATTTCTTTGTTTTGATTTCTTTGGTTCATCTTCGATGAACAGTAACTTTAGATTGGGTCAATTGGATATAATAACCATCAAAATCATATCGTTTATTAAACTGGTTGAAAAATGGGAGTAATTTGTAAATATAATAACAAAAAAACAGTTCAAAACAAGCAGATAAGACAGGTCAAGCAGCTTAAGTCAATGAAATGGAAAAAAATAGAGGTGATGATTGTGTTTATTCAACCATCTTTATGCGAGCGAAATATTGGTTTGAATCAAACAACCAATAAAACATCCAAACCCAATCAGTTGAAGCAATATAACCAACATTTGCAATTAAAAAACATCACCACAGTGAAAAAGTGCCATAGAAATCATGGTGGTCCATGTCGAGTAGCATCAGTGATAGTAAAGACCAGCCATTGCAACCCACCCACAGCTGCTGAAATACCCAAAGCTTTAAACTGCAAAACATTGTGGTTGAAAGCTACTGTTGGTTTCTATTGTCCAGTGGCATCAAATCAACAGTACTAAAGAGGAGAAGCTGGATGAAGATGGAAGAGTTCTGCTGGTGACCCGAGGTTTTAAGTGGCGGGTTCGGTGGGGCGTCTACTTTTCCCAGCGAACAGTGCGTAAGCGAACAGCGGGTAAAGCGGACAGTGCGTGTATTACATAAGCAAGCTTCTTCCTTTTCCGGATGGCAGGTCGTATATGCTACCCACGTGGACAATTGCTGAGCCAAAGTAGCTGTGTTTGTATGGTCACTGTGCAGCCGAAGAGCCGCCGGACGACGAACCGCGCCTGTGTCTGTTTGCGGCCAAAGAAGAAGCACGCGGCAGAGTGAGATCTGGGGCAGTCTCGACCAATCGGCCATTTTAGTCAGGTGTGTAAGCTGCTCCATCAGTACGGAAAGCTTATCTGGCGACAACTCTCGAAATGGGTCGAAACACAGTGATAGAGCAGTGGAAGAAGGAACTCAAATCAGCTCGAAACAGCTGCAACAGATTATCTGGTTCTGACATCTTTTGGTATAAATATTCTGCAGTTGTCCTCCAGTTCTTGCAGCCCTCATCTACTCCAACTACATCTCATCATCAGTTCTATCTCTTGTGCTTCAAAATGGCCTCAGTGCAATCAACCCCAAAGACTGGTTCTGTTTCTGCATCCACCAAATCCGACCCCAGCCTCACTGTGGAGGTGATCACCTACGACACCTACAAATCAGCCGCTAAATGTCTTCTCAATGCCTTTGTCGATGATACTTTGGACAAGTATTTGTTCAACCATATCAAAGACCACCGCCAACGCCATAAAGCAGAATTGGCTCTATACGAAGCTTATCTCTACTCCCATATCCTAAGAGGTGGTTTGTGTTTGGGCACCAGAAAGAACAGCACCAGCTCTAGCTCTAGCTCTAGTTCAGATGCTTCAGATTCAGAAGTTTCTGATTTCTCCTGTGTATCCATTTGGGCTCCTCCAGATCTTATTATCGAAGATGGTTATCTTACTCTAATTAGATCCGGCTATCTAAGAGTTGCCTGGTTATCTGGTTTTGAAGGCTTTAAAAAAATCTTTACTCAATTATTCAATGTTTTGTCCAACACAAAAGATCGGGTATTAGGCGACGATAACAAATATACTTGGTCTTTAATTTATATTGGCACTGATGTCGATTCCAGGGGCAAGGGCTATGCAAAACATTTAATCAACTACATGTTCAAGCATTATATCGATAACAACAATTACTTGACTTACTTGGAAAGTTCTGCTACCTCAAATATCCCAATTTATAAAAAATTTGGCTTTGAACATATCACCGATGTCTACGTTTACAATCACAATTCAGATTTATCTCTTGAAAGAATAAATAATACAAATTCAAAAGTTATCAATGGCAAACTAGGTGTGAACTATGGTAGACTAGATATTATGGTTAGAGGTTCAAATAAAGGTAAAACACCTTGGAAAAAGGGTGAAATATTCAAAATCCACAACGATACTAATTAATATTACTTTCTTTCTTTCTTTCTTTCTTGCTTTTATTATACTATATTATAATTTACCCATACATATATATGTGCTCATTTATTCATATTCCATTTTATATACCTATCTATATTCTTTATAACATTTCAAACAATGATCAAAATAATTATGATATAATCCTTGGTGTTTGAACCTGTAGAAATTTAAAAACTCGTTTTCATTATACTCAGACTCTAATTCTGGTAATCCCAATCGAATGAACTTTAAGCAATTACAACATTTGACATATATTATCTCAAACTTATCGACTCTTTTAATATACAAACTCTTTGGAATATTTATGATTTGATAAGTCATCTTGTTCTTGCTCATTAAGATTCCATGAGCAAATTTTAAATGATTTAAATATTCTCTATTCTCAATCCATTTATAAAATGAGCATAAATTGCACAAATGGTATTCATTATCAACATTCATATTCATATCCATATACATATCAATATCCATATCCATATCCATATTCATATCCATATTCATATCATCCTTCCTGATTGCTTTTCGGAAATACTTGCATGTAGTAAAACATTTTATTATATCAGCAGCATCAAGTTCAATGGTTGGATTAATGCTATAAATATTGGATATACTGTTCAATTTAAAATTGACTAAATGCTTTATTTTATTCTGATTCAAACTCGGATATTTTTTATTTTTATAATAGTTGTAATTTTCATTATTTTTGTTATTATTTATGTATGTCTTTTTGAGTTTATGGTTATAAAAGTGTCTTGGATGAAGCGATAAATCGGTTATATCATCAAAATTAGTGAAATAAAAATTTGAAAAATAACGGTTTTTGGCATTATGGTTAGCACTATTGCTTTTGTTGTTATGGCCATTGGAACAATTTAGATTTTGATATTCAGGAAAATCATCAATTATAACAGAAGTTTTTGTGGTATTTGAATCCGATTCAATTGAGATCGAATCGTCTAGTTGAAATGAAGTACTATTAAAGTCGATTAAGTTATCATTTTCATTTTCATTTTCATTATCACCACTATTATAGTTATAATGACTCATCTTTATTTGTGCATGTGAAAAAATTGGAGCTGATTTAATTTGGACAATGGAGTCTGTATTTGGGCTGTCCAGTTGATTAATCTTTGGTGCATTTATGTTGAAAGCGGGAGATGATGAAATATTTTGTATATTATTGTTATTGATTAATATTGGTTCTGATGAGGTCAATGAAAGAGCTTTATTGTTATTAATAGCAATGGTAGGATTAAGGATATTATTTTGAGTCTGGTTGGTTGTAGATAAATGATTAGATAAGGAGCTTAAAATTTTGAAGTTATTGGTCAAATTACTTATTTCTGAAACTAATGAATTTGCAGTTGGGGAAGTTTTGGGGATTATATTGCTATTGTTATTATTATTGCTATTAATGTTATTAATGTTATTAATATTATTAATATTATTATTACTAATAATATTGTTGCTAATGTTATTATTAGTTTTATTTAAATCAATTGGTTTGCAGATTGAGTTGATCATTTTTTCATATTCTTCAGCGATATTGATAGTAGTTAAAGTTTACGAGGAAATAAAACAAATTAAATCAATAATCCAGAGGCCAAATTTAGTAGATAATTCAAGGATAAATACAAAACAAGCAAAATAGATAAATTAAACAATAAAAAAAAGCCAAAGGACAGAGGAATTGGATACAATTTAATACCTAGCATATGAGATATAAGTGTAGTTATATTTGAATTGCAACTGAGCTGAAGATAGAAAAAAACCAACCAAATAAAATTGTGCTATTATAAATTAGAAGAAGCTGAAAGCCTGCCCAAAACCCACCAAGTAAATAGGAGCAAGCATTGGAAAGAAGAAAGGATCTGCCTCAAAGAAAGAATCGGCATCAGAAGCAGCAAAAACAGCAAAAGCAGTGCTCCCTCCAGCTTCCTCCAGTTTCCTAATCAGGACACCAATATATCATCCACAAAAACCCAATCGGTGGAGAATGCAGCCCACAACGCTGGCTCGGCACAGCCAAAACCCGGCACTGTGGTTCCATAAACAAGGCAAAGCGACTCAGCCAATACAAAGCTGCGAACCACCATTCGCCATTTTCTGAGTATTGAAGACTGGTATATAAGGGGATGGATTTCTCTAAAAGATTTCTGTTTCTTTTGTTTTTTCGTTATCATACGATAGATTTCATCAGATTACATTTTACTCCAGCTCACTTTTAAACTTATCATAATCNACAATGTCTGCTAACAGTTTCTACGGTTCAGGTTCCGACAAAGGCCAATCAAACCAACAACAACAACAACAACAACAACCAATTGGCGAAGGTCAAGAAGGCGAAAGAGGATTCTTAGCTTCTGTCGCTGGTGCCGGTGCTGGATACTATGCTGGTGGTAAAGCCAAAGACTCCAAATTAGCCAAATTAGGTGGTGCTTTAATCGGTGGTATCTTAGCCAACAAGATCGAAGACCATTTCAAAGATAACAAGAAATAAACGAGAAACATTTTATAATTTATTTGAACTAGTTCAATGTATGGATTCATAGGCCCTTTCGTTTTCGTTTATTTTTTAGTTCTGGCTATTTGCCTCAGATTTAAATTGATTTTATTTTTTTATTTTTTATATACTTTTATACTTATTTATAAACAAGAAATTAGAATCGATATATTTATTTAAGTATTTCCATATAATGGTATATTTGGAGTTGTAGTAATTTGTATATTCGGATGAGTTTGTAAGTTGAATTGAGTTTCATCACTGATTGAGTAATATCATGCTACATTAGATCGGCATTGGATGATGAGGGTGAAACTAACCAATAAAAGTAAATCAAAGTTAAAATTGGAATAATAGGCTGCAGTAATAATATAGTATATATATAGTAAATGTAATAGTCCCAGGAAATAGAAGACTTCGTGGCCAAGCTGGTTAAGGCGTGAGACTGTTAATCTTAAGATCGAGAGTTCGATCCTCTCCGAGGTCGTGCTTTTTTAAACATTTTTTCTAAATGTCACATGATACATTAGTTTTAACTCGATTTTATTAGTTGTGTTGTTGAAATTGATATGAAGTTATTGAGGTGGATTTTAATATTTGAAGATGTTCTTATTATATCTTGAATCAGACAATGATTCCATCCAATAAGCGCAGCCAAAAAATTGGTATTGGATGGCGTTGCAAAATAGCTGAATGAAAATCGTGTTTGAATAGGTTATGCTCAAGCTGTTGATGATTTGATGATTTGATTATTAAGATTTTTAGGTAATAACAGTCGCGGTTGGTGGATAAGTTCTAGGTATCGTTGAAACAATTTGATGACTTCATTTTTGGCAGGGATTTGCATTGATGTTGGTGAGTTTTGAGATTTTGTTGTAATGTTTTATTTAAGAGAGTTTGGTCTATTGACTGTTTCTTACTCTCTTTTCTTTTTTCTTTTGTGTTTGCGGTTAGTGTCAGATGATATTCTGTTATTTAGAGTTCGATTGTTTTCCATTTTTTTTCCAAATTTTCCAAGTGATGAAGTTTGGAGCGAGACCATACTTTGAAAAGATTGCAAAAACAAGAGGTTTTAGATTTCTGAGTTGGGTTGTTGGGAGTACTTAAAATGGTTGTTTCATAGACAGATTTAATCAAGACGGATGTAGGAGTAATGATTATTAATTGGATGAATATGTTTACTTTGATTGCCACATAAATATCCTGGCCAGGACTAATAATTAAAAACGATTGGGACTTGCAAGGTGATTAATTCGCATGAGAAATCAAAATGTTTTCAAAACAATTTTTCAGTTCACTTTCAAAATATCAATCAAAGTGATAATGATTAAGAAAGATGAATGAAGTTTTGCCAACTAAACGTTCTTTGGGTTTTGTCAGCTTAATTCTTGTTGGTTTTTATTATTGATGAACCTTTATTTGAGTAGAATATGAAATGGATTCTTCTATCTCCAAGCTGCGCATGTTTAAACGGTGACCATTTATATGGCAATGGTTCAAAAAAGGCCGAAATGGAAATTACCGTAGCATGGTGACAAAGCGCAAATTGACTACATTTGTAAGAATTCGGGTTATGGGTGTACCAATGCACAGATTTTGGAACCGTTGATGTTTGATCTTTCAACATCTAGAGGGCCACTGAGATCAAGACACAAGTGCCAAATTTTGTGAAATACAACCAATTCATTTAAAACCAAAGGAAACCGGGTTCATTGATCCAGCAGCTGCTGTTTGGTCTGTATGATCCCCTTGATCTTTTCGGTGTACCTGCTACAAACAGAATAGTACAACGATTAATGCTGAGAGATGGTGGCCCGTTTGAAGAGAGACCAATCTGACGTGGTGCCCGGACTTCCAGCTGACTGGGTGCGCTGATTAATGGTGGATGTGCTGACAAAACTGGGCTTGGCTTGACTTTGATGGCAGTTGGAGCAGCTGCTGCGTATGCCAAAGAGCCTCTGCTGCTGGTGCTGCTTCTGCACCACCACAGGCCCTGCAGAACATGGAAGGGTCCTTCTGGATGGTTCCGCAAACGGGACTCGGTGCCTGAGCTGGGCGCGCGCTCCTTGCAGAGCGTGGAGTCAATAGCAGCAGAGAAGCAGGAGGAGCTCTTTTTCGTGTGGTTTCCACGGTGGCTTCCAGGCCATTTATTTTTAGCGGTCCTCTTTCGTGCTGCAAATATCCTTAGGGTTGGTCCCTGTGCTAAGTTTCTTTTCGCAAATTTCACTACATTGCAGGTTGGTTAATCCAACTTTTCCTGTTCAATTACTTTCCCTTTTTACAATTTTTTGAAACTTTCCGAAGACTTATTGATTTTTCAAAATCCATATAAATATAACATTTCTCTTTATCATAGTTGTAATGATTTTTCAGCACCCAAAATCCTGCTTCATATCAACTCATACACTCGTTTTATTTGCCTACCAAATTGTATTCCTTCCAACTCCTTTCAAGCCCTTTTTATGAGATAGATTCCTATCTATCCTGTCCATTCTTTTATATCTAGCAACTTCTATCTTTTTTGAACTGTCTTCAAATCGGCGATAAAAATGAAGTATTTGCTTCCTCTATTACTCTCTATTCTAGCTTACCTAGCGCAGGCCAAACCGGTGGCGGATTCCACCTCCATAAGTGAAGAGGATGAAATCTACTGTCTTGCAGAATATGTCACTTATACCGAAGTGGTTGATTGTAGCTGTGAAACTTGTACGACTGATTATTTTGAGTACACTACAGCTATCGACTGTGATAAATTGACGGATATTTTCACCGACGGAGAACTCGACTACACATTCACCGGAACCTCAACTAATACCGACTTTCTCGAAGCCGGATCTTTATCCAGTTCTCAGACCGACTCTATAACCTCAAGCTCAACTTCATCAACTCCAACTCTATCCGTATCTGATTCACCTGCTTCACCAGGCTCAGGATCCACGATACCATCTGAATCTGTGTCTTCAAGCTCAGACTCCACAATTACTTCTAGCTCTAGTTCATCTTCAATTTCAGAATCAGGATCATCTGCATCAATTTCAGAATCAGGATCATCAGTATCAATTTCAGAATC